TGTATTGCTATATACATTGTATCTGGTTAACCTCAAGAAGGGGAGTCATCAGAATGTATTGCTATATACATTTGTAGGTCATCAGCAATACTGATATTCTTAATCGCCTGTACAGGTGCAGAGGTCATTTCTCAACCATGCATGCTATATATGTCTGTGAAAGATAGAGGACAAACAATACTAGCCTCACTATTTTTCACTGAACAGTGAATTAATTAATAATAAAATGCATCACTTCCAGAAGTAGTGAAGTTGAATATAGAAATTCTACTAAGGGGTGGATAAATGAATAAAAAAATGTGTCCAATAAACATATTATTCCCACGTAGTTGGCCCGCCTTCGTGTTTATCTCTTCATGCTGTCAATGTGTTACGTCCCTTCTGTATGTATGACGTCATTGACATATTAGCCTCTTGTTTACTCATTCACATTATATGTAACAAGTCCCCGCAATTTTAACCTAAATGCTAATTGTGACATGTAGTTTTGTTTGATGTATTCATGTTGCCACTATATAGCTCTAGTCAACAACTGAGTAAAGCTGTGAAACCCAGCATGACCTACGTCACTCAGATAGTTAGTGATGGTGATCTGATTCAGTGAAAACCTATAGGTATGACAGCAACATGTTTATTAGAATGAGTTTGAACTTTGTTAGATAATGTGTACCTGTAACCTTGTTTATATAGGAGTTACAGTGTTCTGGCTGCTAATGTTGCTGTCTGTCTGCTAGATGCTTGACAAATGAGGAGAAATTGACAGCAGCTGTATACGTATTCAAGAATAACAAGACAATACGTATACGTATTAAATGTTATTATGTCATTTCGGTGTGGCGTGTAATTTTCCAATATACCAGTAACAGATTTTACCATGATATTGATCTATGACACAGGGCTACTTTTCACACCTTGATGCTGAATTTTTGGTTCCAAAATAACGTCTGGATTAATATTGATTGCTGTGCGGATGCACGCGTCTTGGAAAGCTTAAACTCTCCTAGGTACATTTTTCAGTGAGAGGAAAAATCGGTTGAATTGAAACGATATGTAACATTTGATTAACATCACGTCTGAGACAGAGATGGTTATTTGGTGTTAAAATAATGGCAGCTTTATGTATTGATCGAGTCTGTCCTGTTTGCTGCCTCCACAGCTTTATATGGTGGCCATGGCTGTATAATGTAGTCTAGCTGTCTCACTGTCCAGTAGGTACGCGTTAACATCATTGTATTATAGTGTTCATACTCCTAGTCAATATATTGTATACATTTTATGAAGACATTCTCCAGTTTTTGATGAATCTGTAGACATATATTTTGCGATATTTCTGGGTTAAGAAACGAATCATAAAACAGATTGCAATTCAACATAATCCTGAAAGCTTTTGAGAATTAAAACATGATTTAATTATGCCTCAAGGATTCAGAATTTGAAACTGAGGTTTCCTGTTAAGAGATATATCCATCAAATTATATTTACCATTGAGTATAATTTAATGCATCAATCTGGGCTGTGGGGTATTTTTTTCTGAATTTGTCATTACAGTGCATCATGTAATTGAACATATCTTTGGAAACCACATCCTCATCAGTAATACAGAAAACCAGATGACAATTGTATACCAATAAAAACCTAAAAACTGGCAAGGATATATTTTGTGAATATGTTTGTGACATGAACCTGTATTATGCAGGATTAGCCCACATCCTGTCTATTTCCTGTGAAATCGTTGGTTGTTTACATTAGTGGTACTCAGTTGATGCTGTTTTTTCTTTATCATATATATATATACATGTACTGACAAGGCTTTTACAGAAATGTGCTATGGTCCTGGATTTAATTTTATTAACTCTGCTAGCAAATATAGTGCCTGTAAACTTGTGTTTTTTATCACTGCGTACCTCCATCAATCTTTCTTGATTTTATCTTATTTTAACAGTATCTTTTTAAGATTCATTGAAAGCCCCTGGTAATTATCATAAAACAATGTTGTTTGGGTTGCTGCCTGTTTGGATGAAAAACTGTCATTGTTGCTTGCTGGAGTAGTGAAGGGCTTTCAAGTTTGTTCAAATGGATTTCATCTATCAATATTTAAATTCAATTTTACCGTATCTGAAATATGCAAACGACTTGTTCTCAAAGCTTTTGAGACCAAAATATCTGGCCTCATATAACATTATGTAATTTGTCAAATGTTTTTGAATTATTTTAAGCTATAGTAATGATATTTTAATTTGAGATAATCATGAGTAATGCTTTGCAGAATATTAACAAAGACAAATAAAAACTATGTAGGTAATACAGTATGTCATTTTCTGATATTGCAAATAACACTGATGTTTGTTGTATTTGTTGTCTTTCACAAATTTGATGATGTTTTTGTCTGCACAGTAAATTTTTGTGCTCTATGTGATATGTCAGATAAAGAATACAATGTGAATTAAAACCTGTTTTTGTTTCCACCTCAATTAAGAGAGCACCTGTATAATCAGGCCATTTTAAGTTTCCTTTTTTAGTGATTTCATTGTGAATTGACCCTGTATTAAGAGACCATCTGTGTAAACAGGCCATTAAATGTTCCCTATTGCAGTGATTTCATTGTGAATTGACCCTGTATTAAGAGACCACCTGTGTAAACAGGCCATTAAATGTTCCCTATTGCAGTGATTTCAATGTGAATTGACCCTGTATTAAGAAACCACCTGTGTAAACAGACTATTTTAGGTTTCCTTTTGCAGTGATTTCATTGTGAATTGAACTTGTATTAAGGGACCACATGTGTAAACAGCCCATTTGAAATGTTCCCTATTGCAGTGATTTCAATATGAATTGAACCTAAGAGACCACCTGTGTTAACAGGTCATTTTAAATTTTCCCTATTGCAGTGATTTCATTGTGAATTGAACTTGTATTACGGTAATTATATAAGAGACCACCTGTGTTAACAGACTCCACTTGTCAGACTTACAAAGGGTGGTCTCTTAGCACAGGTTTGATTGTACATGTACCTGGTATATATTTATTCATTAAACTGCCTGTTTTGGAAAGTTTTTGTCCTATAATTCTCACAGGATTGCAGATAAACTGAAAAACGCTCGTTAGGGTTTTATGATTAATTTGTCTGCAATCCTGTGAGAATCATAGGACAATAACTTTCCAAAGAAGGCAGTTTAATACTTATATTATCGTTTTTAGGTTAAGTTTTCTTATAATTCCAACCTGTTACGGCATTTCAAAGTCAAATATCGCACTGTCTGTCAATGATATTCACCTTTTATACAACATCACTACATTTCGTGACGTCAACAATACACTTAATATAGTGACGTCGGTCATAACGATGTCATTTAGTCAAAACGATCACTACACCAATGGGAATTATATGAGAATTTTGATATGATATCTTTCTATTTTGTTTGGTAAGGTTATACAATGGCAATGCAGAGCAAATGGAAATATAAATAATTATATGGTATTGCTTGTTAGACTATAAGACAAGCTCAAGCCACGATTAGCATCACCATATCTTCTACAACAGATCATTGTCGCAACATCTGGGAGGTACCCCTCGGTTCATATTGATTTTGTCAGGACCGATGCGGAAAGCTTGACAGAATATTAAAATGTTGTTTCCGACAATTACCCTGGCGCCGTAAGCAAATAACTGTCTCAACAGAGACACATTTCAGATGTAGCAATATGTCACTGGAGAGAATCAGAAAATGGCAATCCTATAGGTTTCTATGGTAGCCTTAGGGATTGATTTCGTGGCTGCAATATAAAGATGAATAATCATAGTGTTTGTTGTTTTTACAACTTATTGTGTTGTTTACATTCTGATCATACACAGTATTTGCTTAATTCATTAGAACTGTTGTACAGTCTAGTTAAGTGTGTTGATTACCAGAAGAAGAAGAAGTGTGGGAGCTTTAATTTAAACTGCCTGGGAATTGTACATGTATTTCTGTATTTCTATTAAGGAATGATTTTTATTTTTTCAACATTTATGAGGTCATAACAACAATGAGTTTATGGACATATTGAATGAATTGCGTTAGCGATTCATGTAAAATATGTCCAAAAACCCATTGTTGTTATGACCTCATAGATGTTGAAAAAATAAATATCATTCCTTATATTTACATTGACGAATCCTTTCAGTGGATCGATATAACAACGAATAAAACAAACAAACAGGGTTTGTTCCTGCTTATACACGGGTGCAACGCAGTGGCGAGAACAGTGTTTTTTCGCGGGGAAATGTGACACTATCGTGAGAGATCTTAGCAACCGTCAACAACAATAACACAACAAAATGTAGTTCCATATTCAATGTTTATTTGTAGCACAGGACACGTGAATACGTGGATATTTCACAAAGCACAGTTCAATAATATTTTAAGATGTAAGAATTAAGCATCTAGGTCGGTCGTGCCGAGTGAGTAGTTTTTGTAGTGTATTACTACGCAGTGTGATCAGGTTACTATCAGTTCCCACGTGCTGAGATTCTATGAACACCTGTGTTATGCATTTATGAATGTAATTTTTGTCAATGGGTCTAAGCATACAGAATGTAAATATTAGGAAGTAATTCATTAATTGAATACACATGCATTATAAACTATGCATTAATATTGGGCCATTTTTATGAAAGCAAAAATTACTTTGTCTAAGACATGCATGTACAAATAGCCCATGATAATACAAATGGTATTATCTCAAATGATCTGCAAAATTGGATCGCTATGATGGATTTCTTGCAAGATACATTGATTGATCTAGTTTGACAAATAACAACAGTGGGGTGGAGACCCAACGTTCCTGCAAGGAAGTGCATTTTGTACCAGATTCAGTGGAGATGTTGCTCATCATTTCTATTTTCATTTAGTTTGACAAATGTTATCTCCAGTACTAGCTTGAGGATTTTTAATCACTTTTCACAACACACAAATCATTTTTTGTAACATGTATTATAAGTTTTGATATATTGATTTCAGACAAGCAGTTAGAGGACCTGATAGAAGCCATAGTCAGGGCTACAAACAAAGGAGTGTCCGCCACCAAAAATGTGACCATGTCCGAACCTAACTGGACATTTGGACAGGCCATTTTCTTTTCTGGTACCGTCCTCACAACCATTGGTAAGAAAATGGTCACATTTATACATTTCTAAATAATCAGGTTTAGTGATACACTTGTGGGTAGGAACATTCTAGTACTTAGAAGTTACAGTTGATTAACTATTCACTTTCTTGTAATTTGACTGAAATATGTGTTGTCTATACCTTTGCATGCGATAATGAAGTCCTTGCCATGGAGCCTCGTTCTCAGAAAGGGCGTAGCGACTGGCATGGTTATTAAATTGGCTTGTTCAAAACTTTGGTTACTAATAGTTATTATATTATACATATATAATATTATTATATGAAATTATATATAGTTTCAAAATAATTTTAGTCAGTGACGTTTTAAATTTCTAAGAAATTAAAGAAATGAAATATTGATATTATTTACATGTAAACCTACCATTATTTACAGTAAGGATCTTCAATGTCAGTTCCCATTTCATATATCATATACATGTAATATGATATTTAGATGTTTTCATTTACTGGAGGATTTGTTGAGCTTAAAAGCAAAAACTTTGGAAAGATAATTTTCATAAACCATTAATCACAATAACCAAGAACTAGTACAATGTACAATTATTCTATAAATAAATTATCTTCTTTGACCATTGTCAAGGTTTCATTTATGTTGATAATGTTATCTGCTTTTGTTTTATCTAAATCGTTTAATGACATCATAGATATTCTAGTTTGATCACATAAAGGTTCTTTTATTTTATGACTTTTGTTAGTTTTTGTCTGAATGAACTCATTGCAGGCTATGGGAGAGTGGCCCCACTGTCGGATGCAGGGAAGGGGTTTTGTATTCTGTATGCCCTGATTGGAATACCCTTAACGCTCATCATATTCTCTGCGGTGGTGGAACGCCTGATGATCCCCACAAAAATATTCCTCTACTTCCTGTTTAGGAAGTTAGGTCATCTATACAAGGTATTTCATATCCAAGTCCTTCATCTTGTCATCATGATCTCTTTGGTGCTTGTGTTTTTCTTCATCGTTCCCGCTGGTATCTACGCAGCCCTGGAGCCCACATGGAACTTCCTCGACGCTTTCTACTACTGTTTCATCTCCATGACAACAATTGGACTAGGAGATTATATTCCGGGAGATAATCCTGACCAACACCTCAGAGCCTTATATAAGGTTGGAACGACAGGTAATACTGACTAATCAACTGTATTTAAGGATTTAAGCTCCAGGCTCAATAAAGGCTAGGTTTGTTTTGAATGCAAACAGGAATAGGAAACTTATTTTGCTGATGGCCCCCTTCACATCATAGACTGCAACAACTCGAAAGTGCTTGAAAGGGAGGACAACTGGAAAGTCAGGAAAATCAAAGAATCCATCTGGGTTAGGAATAAAGGGGATTTAATGAACAGAGACGAAGGGGGCCAACAGCTGAGTCATCTTTATGACCCAATGTTAACATCCACCATGGGGCGGAATGGGTCAACATATTACCTGTCCCCCTGACTACCTTCTGTATTAGAGTGCAATTGGGCGAAATGTCTCTATGATTTCTGACAGCTGACTTTACTTGATTCAGCAAACTGTGGCTTATTGAGTTGTTTTCAACGGTTTATAGTCCAGTCACTGGTCATTTACTCTCTTTGCTTGACAATTTTTTTTATAGGTAACAGACGTCTTCAAAAGCTTGCAACAACAGTTTTCAATTCCTGTTTGGTTCAAAACAAACATAGCCTTTATTATTCATACCAAACTGATGAATCTTATTCCGAAACTCTGAATTGTGAATTTTCAATTATTAGATAAAGTTCATAAAGATTTGCTAAAGGGAAGCTTTTCACAAATCACAGGTAGATTTAGTCAAGAATTGTCAATCTAGCTACCTTCATTTTCAGTTTAAGTGGCTGAACTGACACATAGGCGGATGACAATTTGGAATAGAAAAAGTGAATGTTTCTCCCAAAGCAATGGCTTGAATGTACACAATAGATTAGTGGTGCCTGAATTAAGAAATTGTTTGATTGTATTGTGTAAGGTTCAAGAAGCATTAACAAATATCTGCTCAGGTACCACAATGAATGACTTGTTAGCATCTAAAGGTTCCAAATGTATCATACATACTGGTTAAATAACGTTCTGTTCTTGCCCAACAGACACTTACAAATGTAATATGTATATAGTCAAAGACTGCATGTCAAACTGTTTGCACCTGTAGTTTAATTTGTTGGAGACTGAATTATCAATCACATTTTAAGTCTTTTAGTTAAATGCTGTGAGCCTCCTGAAATTGTGCGAATATTCTATTATTAAGAAGTTTACAGTATTTTGAAAAAAGGAAAATCGTGAAGTACCGGGTATACCTTTCTATCCACATGCTGATAATGGACTGCTCACGTTTGTTTTGTAGTGTACCTGTTCCTGGGCCTACTGGTGATGATGCTAGTACTGGCCGTGCTGTACGACATTCCAGAACTAAACCTTGGCTTCCACTTCTACTTGCGGAGTGATGGGCAGGATGAGGAGCGTACCACACTGCGTAGCTCGATGGACGGAGCAGGCGGCCCCAAGTACTCCAAACAGGTGGACGACGACCAGCATCCTCAACCAGTCATCCCTCCCAGACCACCCATCATGAAGGAGGACTCTACCACCCAACAAACCCAGTAGAATAAACATTTAGTTGTGGTGGCATACATTGTCTTAACACAGTGTTCAGTACTGACTATACAGTGGTTAGATATTGTCTGAACATCATATTCAGTGTAAGGTACCATACATTGTCTGGACACAATGTTCAGTACTTACTATACAGTGGTCAAATATTGTCTGAACATCATATTCAGTGTTAGGTACCATACAGTGTCTGGACACAATGTTCAGTACTTACTATACAGTGGTTAGATATTGTCTGAACTCATATTCAGTGTAAGGTACCATACATTGTCTGGACACAATGTTCAGTAATTACTATACAGTGGTTAGATATTTATTGTCTGAACATCATATTCAGTGTTAGGTACAGTGTATGGTCACAGTATTTGATACTCCTTATATTATCATGGCTATACATTGTCTGAACACAGTATTCAATGTATGATAGCAATACATTGTATGAACCCTATGCTCAGTGTTGGCCATACCGTATTTTCCCTGTAATATACTCTAACAGAAAGACTTGTTAAGGAAAAATGACAAAATATTCATCTCTTGATCAGTTCCAAATTTGATGCCGGACATGATCATTTATAGATATGACCCTCATCTGTAGAATGTTTTAAACAAGGAGTGGGCTTGATACTGAACATACCGTATTCAACCTAATAAGTTTATCCGCGGCTATAAGCGCACCCCCACCTTTTGTCTTGGAAAAATGATGGATTACTAGGCAATTTTATTTGATTCGTCCTTTGAAAGATTGCGCAAACGTTTGGTAGCCCAGTTTGAACACCTACAAACACGATAGCTGGTTTGAGCATGAATTTATTACCAGTAAGCGCATCTCTTTTGTGTTTTTGTAAGAGCACAGTGCATTTGTTGGGTGGAATATGGTATACAAAATCTGATTAGCAAGGGATGGGCTTAACTTGTTTTGTATAGATATATGTTTAAAATCTGTTGTAAAAAGGTGACTTTAAAATCGAACATATATATAATCTCTTCAGTATTAAGTGGGCATAATAACGAACATTTCACAGGTAAAATATGGTATCTTGATTTATTTGGACATTCAGGCATACAGACATTAAAGTTTGTGCGATTGTTAAGGGCCTAAGACCAAGAGTTGATTCAGTTTCCAAATTTCAATTTAAAATGAAAATGCTTGTTTAAAGTATGTTATAATTTTGAACCATTGGAGGGAACAAAAGAAGAAAACTACAAAGCTAATGGCTATAATTCTATTAATACTTACCATAATTTACTCCCTTTTCATGACAGAAATGTATGAAGGTTGTGACAATACATTTAACATTACCACAGGTTCTTTGTTATCATTATGATAAAAAAAAATAACATGTGGTATTTGATAATCATATGGGGGACAAAAAGTTGACATTTATCTTCTTAAAGTATGTACTGTTATTATAGTATACTGGCACTTCCATTTAACTGACCAGCTGGTATGCATTAGTCCAATGACTTATAACATGTGACAATCTAAATATGTGTCAGATTGTACAGATTTGTTTTCCATAATGTTCAAAATTGGCAATTTAAGAAATTAAATTACTGGTAAAAAATTAAGAAATTGCACGAGATCAAACCCAGACTGGGAGTATAGATTATACTTATACAGAACCTTCTGCTTCAGTTTATGTGTATGAAATGAAACATCTTAAAAGATTTGCTGTTTTTTATTTTACGTTGTCAATACTTGCATGTATAATCTGTGTCTGTTTTATGTAAATTTGTTTTGTTGTATGTATTGGATATCTTATATTTATGTGAAAATTTTAAATGATGCATGTATTTTAGAGGAGAACAAATCTCTTTTTGGAAAAGTTCTGTTCCAAGTCTGGAAAAGGAAATCTGTTAAATGCAACAAATAAATTCATGTAGATTTACACTGAAGTCTGTCTAATCTGACCCTCGATAAATACACACACATATTCTGACATCCTCTGTTATCCAACAAAATTAAATGTGGATGTTGTAATCCAATTTCTTATTAAAACTACCAAATAAGGCCCATGTTATTTGTATAATGTGATCAGTGTGTTGTGTTCAACTGGGTGTCAGATTAGACAGGTTAATCTGACCAATAGGTTGTGCCCCACAGGCTGTCATATTAGACAGGTTTCACTTCTTATGTTTACAATGTTTTATCCTGAAAGGAAATTTCAATATCTGAATCGCCCACATTTCAGACTATTTTAGCATTCACAAGTCATGAACACTGCATTGATAGGTGTATATAATGGTAAACTTTTACTTCAACATTTCCATCCAAAGTTTGAAACATTCCAGGTGTATTCTGTGTATGTAACCGTTAAAGACTGACCCCTGAATGTAGTGATGTCTGCTATGTCTAAGATGATAGTAGGCACCAGACTGTTTTCTGTTGCATCCAATATCAACCCATGTTTCAGCCCCTTAAACATTGTGTTGGTAAAATGGGTCCAGCCATGTTTTGGAAACTTTAATCCTGGCAGTTCAATGTTATCCAGTTACTTGTTTGTTGTTATTTCAGAGGACCAATCCATCTAATTTATGAAGGTTAAACTTGTATCGTGAGACTAAATCTTAAGCAATATATCTGTATGTGAGTGTGCATATAGCTGCTTCAGACCAGTTATTTAACAAAATCTCAATGCAAATTCTCAAAATTTTGATGTTTAAGAAATACTAGACTCACATATTTTAATGTCTAGTTTGTAGACATACATCTGCAAAGTGGTTTAATGCACAAAAGTGTACACAGTTTTTTTTGTGTAATTTTTAAACCCCAAATGTAATAATAATAATAATGATAATATCCACCATTTGAGATAGCGCCCTATCTAGCTAACATAAGCCACTCTAAAGCGCTTTACAGTACATAGATATACAATTGGGATATACAATTTTTGAGGAATTCGCAGGAGCTGCCTTATCAGGCACTAACTACTAGTCCTATACCACCTGGCTAATATCTCCCTATGTGTGTATGCCTGCATGTGTGCTGGAGATGTATTGTGTTCTGTTTGTAGTGGGACCGTGCTTTTAACGGCATCTTTTATAGTGTCACATCACTTGAATGCTACATCACAGATACCGCAACATCCAGTTGTTGGAGTTGTGTGGGCAAGAGAAAAACACTTTCTCTAATATTCCATGTGTGCGACAACTTCGGGGATCAAACCCCGGCCACCTGCGTGGAAGGCCAAAGTGTTAACCACTCAACCAATCCGCCCATCCTGGGTATCCCCTTATAATTTAATTTTAAAAGACAGACAACAATTTGTATAAGCCCGTCAAATTTGACGGAAGTATTATGGTATGGGGTTGTCCGTCTGTCCGTCTGTCCGTCCTGCATAAACATTTGTTTGTCCGGCAATCTCATTTTTCGACCGATCTCTTTGAAACTTGGTATACATTATAATCATGATATGAAGCTATGTCTCACTAAAAGAATTTTGATTCAACAATTTTTCCAAAAGTTATTGCCCTTTGTTCATTTCAGTATTTGATTTTTTGTCCGGAGATTTCCTCCTACTTTTTTTGACGGATCTCTTTGAAACTTGGTATACATTATAATCATGATATGAAGTTGTGTCTCCCTTAAAATGAATTTTGATTTGACGATTTTTGCAAAAGAAATTGCCCTTTTTTTCATTTCAGTGTTTGATTTGTCTGCAGATTTTCTTCTATTTTTTTATAGCATGTCAGCTAACCACTCTTAGAATGATGCAGATCTTATTTCAATGTAAGAGAGTATATAACACTATATGGCATTCGACGGGAGTATATTGTTCTGCCCCCCGGTACTCTTGTTTGTTCATAATAGATGAATATTTATAAATAGTAGATACAAGCAAATTATTTTTGCACAAAACACAAAATAGCGTGGTTATTTCATCACCAAGCAACTTCACCTTATCAGAACTTAGAATTTAAAATACTGCGCCAAACATTGCAGTATACGATGTACATGATTACTTTTTGGGTTGTCAATTTTTTTAAGTTATGTGATATAACCTGAAAAAAGTATTGGGGGAATAGCCAAAATATAATTATGTAATTTCAGCTATAAATTTCAATATCAGGCTAATTAAAAGTATAAGCACAGATTTTTATGATTGTTTATTGATAAGAACCAGACTTTTAAAACTAGAACCTTCATGTCAACATTTAATGAGGGACACAGGTGGTGGAAACACACAATAATGTGTTTCTGTGTAATAAGCATGTTAGCATATACACATCTGTGTTTTGTGGGACCAGCATCTGTTGTTGGTGACAGGTATAGTCTGTTCTATTTGTCAGTGTTTATTTTTGTGTTGTGAAAGCTTTATGAGACCAAAGACTTATATTTTACAGGGTTGTGGTATTATTACCTGTTGTCTCATTGTTTCTCTATTTACTCTTAGATCCGATTCATTTTGTTTTTTTATTTTATTTACAAATCTTTTACTTTATGAAATTAATACATATATAAATATATGCATAATTGCCAAATTTCTGAAATTTCCATGGGAAAGATTCTGCATACTCCAAATTAAACAAAAATAAAATGTGTTTATTTACCCCCTAGAGACAAAAAATAATAATTTCCATGACAAAATTTGAGTTGTTCTTTCAGATGAAATCGTTAGATCTTGGAAAATATTAATAGTTCAGCAAATTCACTGGTTGGAAATACAAAATTTAAGGGTCCAAAATCGGGAGTCGCCCTCCTAAATAGGGAGAGCTGGCAAGTAACAATTCATAACAAACCAATTTGGCGTAATAGTTTTGAGGTTTTATAGTCCGTATGGTGACAAGGTCATAACAGTTACCTCCCTTTCACAGACCGATCAGACCAGACAAGAAAACTCTTGGTGAGAGTTAAATTATTGGTTACAATCTGTCTAAATCATTATTTTTGCTTGTTTCTGGTATTTTGAAGGTTATGTTTTAATAATGCTTTCTTTGCTGTAACGTTATTTAAACTCTGTGGGAGCCATTATGTAAATCCATTTATCTGTTTAGCATGATCTCATGTGTGACGGTTATTGTACAACTCTTTTATTATTGTTTGCTCATTGACATAAGTCCTCTATTCCTCATCAGGTATGTGATGTTAAATTTTGTGCTTTTTATATAGCATCCTTAAGATTGCTAAATGTGACTTAACTATTGCTATATGTTAGTAAAAATATTATATTATACTGCGACAAAAATGGTTGAACTTGATTGGGCTAGCCCATCTTTTTCCCCCGTCTTTGAAATTTCTACGCAATCAAATGCTATTCCCTACATGGTTCCGATCTACTGAAACATACCTGGTAGACACAAATGACGATGATCTTAAGCTTGATACTGAATAATTCAGTCAAGTGTATCATACATTTATTTATGCTGATGTCGATTTTAAATCAACATATGTTACCCGATGTTAATATTGTCAGTATATCCTATTGTACTTACAGGAAATTACAAAGAAAATATGGTTAGCTTTCCTTTCTGTACTTAACACAGTGTTACCCAAAACAGATTACTAACATACCCTAATGTAGTTAACTTATATTACACAAAGTATTGTTAGCATACCCAGAACTTGCCCAACACTGCACATATAAGCTGGTATCATCATAAGTTGATTATGAAAATTATGAAAGGTTGCAGATTTTTTTCTTGCCAGAATTTGATTTACCTCCCATCGTCACAACACAACCTAGCTAGCTGTCGGTAGTTTTTATCTATACAATTCCCATCGATAGGTTTCTTTAATTTTTATGATCAATTCAATTTTAATTACAAGATTTTTTTTGTAATTTTGTGAAAATAGTATCATAAAACATATGTCAGTTTATGATTTAGTTTATTTATATCTATATAATCAAATTTGTATCCCCGAGTTTTGATATACAAATTGACTGACAACAGCAAAAAGTAGTACTTATTCAATGATTGTACATGTATGTGTAGTAGATCTATTTTACAAAAGTTTTTTTATTCTATTGTTTCATTGTTGATTCCATAATGTTGACAATATCTAATATATAATGTTAAGTTAGTGATCTATAACATAGGTTTCTGTGTCTTTGTTTTGTATATATGTTCTTTAAAATATTCAATGATCAGTGATAAGACTTGTTTATTAGGTTTTTTTAGCATGGTATTATTATTACTATTATAAATATTGATGTATACTCCACATATAAGAAAACAATACATCAGGTTTGTTATAGGGTTATGTTGTATGCTGGTGTTGCTTGAAGCATACATAGAAGTGCAATTAGAAGAAAATAGATTATTTTGAAAATTAGTGTGTTCACTATTATTTTGCAGAAATCTATTTTTCCCAAATAGTGTTCTAAATTATATATGTGGTGCTTTCCTAAACACTATAATGCCTGCTTAATGCATAATTGTTCCCTTTCTTCCGATATTAATGTTGAGATTTTTGGACAAACAAGTCCCCTGTGAAATTCATAAATTGAAGCTTTATAATTACTTATATTTTAATCCGTTATGTATTCAATTTCTACTACATTGATAACATCTTATATTACAACCTTTTCCCCCTGACTTGCTGATTTTAGTGTACTACTAGTATTTTCCTTTAGAAAGGATGTGAACATTACAGGAAATGTGTGCAAAGCATGTGCTAATGTAATATATGAAGATTATCACTATAATATAGAAATATTTTAACAAAAAGGATAAAAAAAGAGAACTTAATTATAGAGGTCCAGTGAACGATGTCTCAATCTTTCATATAAATGTAGCTCACATGGACGTAAACAAAATATTCTAGAGTGTCAATAGTTACCGGATAAAATTTCGAATGTACTGGGAAATCTGCCTTATCCCAATAACATGTTAAAACCAACGTACGATTGTTATTCCATTTTTAATAAAAACTACCAAATAAGATTGATGAAATCCAATATTCTGTCTAAATTCATATTTTATGTACCACAGGTGTCGCATTAGAAAGGTTTCACAGTATTTGTAAACCAGGGAAAGGTTGTACTTGTACTTTGTTCATATGGTTGTACTTGTATTTTGTTCAATATACAATTATACACAATTTATAATTTTGCTTTCATGATTACATTTTGTATAACGGTTAAATACATGTAATGTACAAATGTGTCCCCAACATACAAAAGTATCCATATTTACTTCCAGAAAAGGGAAATTATTCATCTTCTTGTAAAAAAACAAATTAGTTCCTCAAAGTTTTGATTATTTTACATCCGTATTGATAAAAATTTGTATCTGATGTTTTCTTGTCAACTTTTGTTCAGTACCAACATTTAAAACTAGGGTGTGCATTTTTAAGGTTGTTGTACTAGTATGTTTAATTTTTTTTCTCTGTTTTCATTGTTTTGTATGTTGTTAAAAAGTTTTGCTAGAACTTCTATTGTTTTACATGCCCAATACTCACTACTGGGTTAACCTTTCAAATTTTATCAATGTCTAGCGATACATCTTGTAATGTATTTGAATCCTTCTGTGTCAGATATACACATTCCTATTATATATTTTGTTTCTGTTAAGTAAATATAGATCTTACAAAGTATCAGTTGTTGTGTTATTTTTAGCTCAACAGGCATGAAGTATCTGCTTGTTATACTTGATGATGGTTGGCTAACAAAGAAGAAGAAGGCGATATTTGGGAAGGAGCATGCTGATTTGTTAAAAGCTTTCAATACGTTCTTGTGAATAGCCAAGAAAAAACTGATTTAATGTATATGTAATAATTAAGACAAATTCTGAATTTTCTTTGTTTTTACTTTGAGGTAAAACAGCACAATATTTACAGGCATATAATCAATCGAGGACAATTCACATCCACCCTCGTACACCTCCACCCTCCTCGTACATCCACTCTCATACACATCCAACCTCACACCCTCATACACATCCACCCTCATACACATCCATCCTCGCACACATCCACCCTCGTACACATCCAACCTCGTACACGCACACCCTCATACACATCCACCCTTGTAATCCACCCTCGTACACACACCCTCATACACATCCACCCTCCTCGTAAACACACACCCTCGTACACATCCACCCTCCTCGTACACACACACCCTTGTAAACACACACCCTCGTACACACACCCTTGTAAACACACACCCTCGTACACACACACCCTCGTACACACACCCTCATACACATCCACCCTCCTCGTAAACACACACCCTCGTACACATCCACCCTCCTCGTACACACACACCCTTGTAAACACACACCCTCGTACACACACACCCTTGTAAACACTCTATCATACTTCAATCTTTGTTCTTAGTTCCTAGTAGCACCACCAACAACCTTCATGGTTAAATACCAGATCACAGTAAACATGCTTACTGTGTATGAATAATTGAAAGAATGAGGTTTCGGAGGTCGACACCTATATGCTCAACCCAATATGATTTTATTTAGCTGAAGTCTGTGCTAAGGGAGATAAAGAGAATAAGGTAAGTCAGTGGCTATATGACATTTCATTTTACACAGTCAACTTCAAAATATCCAACTGAAATTGAAGCATTTTACACTTATAGCATATGGCCCATTACAGTAGTAGAACAACAATTATCAGTAACATGCACATATGTGTACAATTATATCTTCAATAGAATACTTGAGGAGATTATTATTATCCTAAAAGCCTTTAATTGAGATCTACTTCTGTTTTTGAATCTTTATTGAGGGCATATTGATTCACTGAGTACCGTGTAATATACATCATATACACTTGAATTGTGATTCTACATTGCGATGTTTTGGCTGATTAGTGTCGTAAAAAAACTGGGATATTTTTCAAGAACGAATTCACATAGGAACTATTTTTTCAACAAAACACCACTAGAAATAAACTATTACTTTGTAACAAGCACAAACTATTGCATTAATACATACACTGTCTGCACACGACCCACATTGCATATACATTCACATACAAACTCATCCACACACTTACAAATATGCTGTGACATGTTTCAAGTGTTAGCAGAACTACCCTGCTGTGGGTCCTTATGGAATGTTTGTGATTCACATGGAAAGAAAAACAGTCCACACATGGCATCCATCAATGCTCGCTGACATGCCATTCTGCTCTCGTAGCCACCTCCTTTCTCCTGGTTTGATGTTTCTCTCACATTTCTCAAGAACCTAGAAAAGGCCAAAGAAAAATGTGATTGTACTACTTAAAATTCGCGATAATTTACAACTTAAAGAACTAGCCAGACCATTTATGGACAAATTTAAGGGGCTTACAAGTCCTGATAACCTGCATGATTAAAAGTGCATGAATTGTGATTATCTTTAAATGTGTTCTAAACATGGTTACCAGTACATTGTATTAGGCCCAAAGTGTGACTGATATCCATTAGGGCAGTTATTGTTTACGATACAATGGCCAATAAAGTAAGTATTTGTAACCTTTTTATTAAAGATACCCACATAATGCTTATTTTACTCCATGGATATTTGTAACACATTCAATTTCAAAAGATGACTGTTTAAATGTTGAGTTACCCTTCCTGCATGATGCGCTCCTCTGAGGGCGGATCAGGTCCACACATCATAAGTTCTATGGGACTGTAGCTGTAAACCTCCACTTTCTGTTCGGGTGCAGGCTCAAATTCTGATGTCGACATGCCCTGTAATACATTAGACAACCATTAAGTGGAGAAAATAGTGAAAATAAATCATTTGATCCAACAAATGTCAACCACTGCACTGAACAGGAGTCAACCTGAAGAGTGAATGAAAGTCCATCATCTGAGTGGACAAACATCAACCACAACAGTGGACTAATATCAACTACTAGAGTGGACTAATATCAACTACTAGAGTGGACATGTATCAACCACTGGAGTGGACAAGTATCAACCACTAGAGTGGACAAATATCATACACTGGATTGGACAAATATTACCCACTAGAGTGGAAAAGTATCAACACTAGAGTGGACAAATGTCACCACTATAGTGGACAAATACCAGCAACTAGAGTGGAAAAGTATCAACACTAGAATGGACAAATATCGTCCACTGGAGTGGACAAATACCAGCCACTAGAGTGGACAAATATCAACCACTAGAGTGGAAAAGTATCAATACTAGAATGGACAAATATCGTCCACTGGAGTGGACAAATACCAGCCACTAGAGTGGACAAGTATCAACTTTGAGTGGGAAAATGTCAACACTAGAATGGACCAATAGAATCCACTGGAGTGGACAAATATAAACCACGAGAGTGGACAAATACCAGCCACTAGAGTGGACAAGTATCAACACCAGAATGGACAAATATCATGCACAGGAGTGGACAAATATCACCACTAGAGTGGACAAATACCAGCTACTAGAGTGGACAAACACCAGCCACTAGAGTGGACAAGTATTAACCACTAAAGTGGAAAAGTATCAACACTAGAATGGACAAATATCATCCACTGGAGTGGACAAATACCAGCCACTAGAGTGGACAAATATCAACCACTAGAGTGGAAAAGTATCAACACTAGAATGGACAAATATCGTCCACTGGAGTGGACAAATACCAGCCACTAGAGTGGACAAATATCAACCACTAGAGTGGAAAAGTATCAACACTAGAATGGACAAACATCGTCCACTGGAGTGGACAAATACCAGCCACTAGAGTGGACAAATACCAGCCACTAGAGTGGACAAATACCGGCCACTGGAGTGGACAAGTATCAACTTTGAGTGGGAAAATGTCAACACTAGAATGGACCAATAGAATCCACTGGAGTGGACGAATATAAACCACTAGAGTGGACAAATACCAGCCACTAGAGTGGACAAGTATCAACACCAGAATGGACAAATATCATCCACAGGAGTGGACAAATATCACCACTAGAGTGGACAAATACCAGCTACTAGAGTGGACAAACCCCAGCCACTAGAGTGGACAAGTATTAACCACTAGAGTGGAAAAGTATCAACACTAGAATGGACAAATATCATCCACTGGAGTGGACAAATACCAGCCACTAGAGTGGACAAATATCATCCACTAGAGTGGACAAATATCAACCACTAGAGTGGAAAAGTATCAACACTAGAATGGACAAACATCGTCCACTGGAGTGGACAAATACCAGCCACTAGAGTGGACAAATATCAACCACTAGAGTGGAAAAGTATCAACACTAGAATGGACAAATATCGTCCACTGGAGTGGACAAATACCAGCCACTAGAGTGGACAAATACCAGCCACTAGAGTGGACAAATACCGGCCACTGGAGTGGACAAGTATCAACTTTGAGTGGGAAAATGTCAACACTAGAATGGACCAATAGAATCCACTGGAGTGGACGAATATAAACCACTAGAGTGGACAAATACCAGCCACTAGAGTGGACAAGTATCAACACCAGAATGGACAAATATCATCCACAGGAGTGGACAAATATCACCACTAGAGTGGACAAATACCAGCTACTAGAGTGGACAAACACCAGCCACTAGAGTGGACAAGTATTAACCACTAGAGTGGAAAAGTATCAACACTAGAATGGACAAATATCATCCACTGGAGTGGACAAATACCAGCCACTAGAGTGGACAAATATCATCCACTAGAGTGGACAAATATCAACCACTAGAGTGGAAAAGTATCAACACTAGAATGGACAAACATCGTCCACTGGAGTGGACAAATACCAGCCACTAGAGTGGACAAATACCAGCCACTAGAGTGGACAAATACCGGCCACTGGAGTTGACAAGTATCAACTTTGAGTGGGAAAATGTCAACACTAGAATGGACCAATAGAATCCACTGGAGTGGACGAATATAAACCACAAGAGTGGACAAATACCAGCCACTAGAGTGGACAAGTATCAACACCAGAATGGACAAATATCATCCACAGGAGTGGACAAATATCACCACTAGAGTGGACAAATACCAGCTACTAGAGTGGACAAACACCAGCCACTAGAGTGGACAAGTATTAACCACTAAAGTGGAAAAGTATCAACACTAGAATGGACAAATATCATCCACTGGAGTGGACAAATACCAGCCACTAGAATGGACAAATATTAACCACAGGAGTGGACAAATGTCACCACTAGAGTGGACAAATACCAGCCACTAGAGTGGACAAACCCCAGCCACTAGAATGGACATGTATTAACCACTAGAGTGGAAAAGTATCAACACTAGAATGGACAAATATCATCCACTGGAGTGGACAAATATTACCCACTAGAGTGGAAAAGTATCAACACTAGAGTGGACAAATGTCACCACTATAGTGGACAAATACCAGCAACTAGAGTGGACAAACCCCAGCCACTAGAATGGACAAGTATTAACCACTAGAGTGGAAAAGTATCAACACTAGAATGGACAAATATCATCCACTGGAGTGGACAAATATTACCCACTAGAGTGGAAAAGTATCAACACTAGAGTGGACAAATGTCACCACTATAGTGGACAAATACCAGCAACTAGAGTGGACAAACACCAGCCACTAGAATGGACAAGTATTAACCACTAGAGTGGAAAAGTATCAACACTAGAATGGACAAATATCATCCACTGGAGTGGACAAATATTACCCACTAGAGTGGAAAAGTATCAACACTAGAGTGGACAAATGTCACCACTATAGTGGACAAATACCAGCAACTAGAGTGGACAAACACCAGCCACTAGAATGGACAAGTATTAACCACTAGAGTGGAAAAGTATCAACACTAGAATGGACAAATATCATCCACTGGAGTGGACAAATATTACCCACTAGAGTGGAAAAGTATCAACACTAGAGTGGACAAATGTCACCACTATAGTGGACAAATACCAGCAACTAGAGTGGACAAATGTCAACACTAGAGTTGCCAAATATCAACCACTAGAGTGGAAAAGTATCAACACTAGGATGGACAAATATCACCCACTGGAGTGGACAAATATCAACCACAAGAGTGGACAAGTATCAACTTTGAGTGGGAAAATGTCAACACTAGAATGGACCAATAGAATCCACTGTAGTGGATGCATATAAACCACTAGAGTGGACAAGTATCAACACTAGAATGGACAAATATCATCCACTGGAGTGGACAAATACCAGCCACTAGAATGGACAAATATTAACCACAGGAGTGGACAAATGTCACCACTAGAGTGGACAAATACCAGCCACTAGAGTGGACAAACACCAGCCACTAGAGTGGACAAACACCAGCCACTAGAGTGGACAAATATCAACACTAGAATGGACAAATATCATCCATTGGAGTGGACAAATCCCAGCCACTAGAATGGACAAATATTAACCACAGGAGTGGACAAATGTAACCACTAGAGTGGACAAATACCAGCTACTAGAGTGGACAAATATCACCCACTGGAGTGGACAAATATCAACCACAAGAGTGGTCAAGTATCAACTTTGAGTGGGAAAATGTCAACACTAGAATGGACCAATAGAATCCACTGGAGTGGATGCATATAAACCACAAGAGTGGACAAGTATCAACACTAGAATGGACAAATATCATCCATTGGGGTGGACAAATCCCAGCCACTAGAATGGACAAATATGAACCACAGGAGTGGACAAATGTAACCACTAGAGTGGACAAATACCAGCCACTAGAGGGGACAAACACCAGCCACTAGAGTGGACAAACACCAGCCACTAGAATGGACAAATATCATCCATTGGAGTGGACAAATACCAGCCACTAGAATGGACAAATATTAACCACAGGAGTGGACAAATGTCACCACTAGAGTGGACAAACACCAGCCACTAGAGTGGACAATTACCAGCCACTAGAGTGGACAAGTATTAACCACTAGAGTGGACAAATGTCAACACTAGAGTGGACAAATGCCAACCACTGGAGTGGACAAATATCAATCACTAAATTGGACAAATATTAGCACTAGAGTGGACAAGTATCAACCACAAGAGTGGACAAATATCAACTTTGAGTGGGAAAATTTCAACACTAGAATAGACCAATAGCATCCACTGGAATGGACAAATATCAATCACTGGAGTGGACAAATATCAACACTAGAGTGGACAAATATCAACTTAGAGTGGACAAATGCCAACCACTGGAGTGGACAAATATCAACACTAGCTTGGACAAATATCAACTTTGAGTGGAAAAAAATCAACACTATAATGGACCAATATCATCCACTTGAGTGGACCAATATCATCCACTGGAGTGGACAAATATCAGCCACTAGAGTGGACAAATATCAACTACAAGAGAGAACAAATACCAGTGGAAAAGTATCCACACTGGAATGGACAAATATCCACACTGGAATGGACAAATGTCAACACTAGAGTGGACAAATATCAACTTAGAGTGGAAAAGTATTCACACTGGAATTGACAAATATCAACCACTAGATCTGGAGTGGACAAAAAACAACCACTAGAATGGGCAAATATCAACCACTAGATCTAGAGTGGACAAAAATCAACCACTAGAATGGACAAATATCAACACTAGAATATTAACCACTTAAGTGGACAAATATCAACTACCAGATTGAATAAATTTAAACTTAGAGTTATATAGCACATATCACGGTTGTTTATCTACATTGCTGTTAGCAGAATATTAAAACTTTCCCTTTTATGTTTACTCTATACATTTTATTGCGCTGATTACTCTGGACCAATTTTTTTTATATTCTTTACTAAATCATGGCAATGTTGATTATGGTTCTCACATTGATAAATCTGAAGGTGTTTCAAATTTGCAGATTGTGTTCAGACTGTAAATAAAGCGTACATAATACCCTAGCATAATTTACCTTTTATGGACTAGACTGATGGAACTAAAAAAAATAAGCGTTTAATCGTACCACATTTATGAGAGAGAAAAAAAATGAAATAATCATTTACTTGAAGGATGATGTTAAGATATAAATTGCTATTTTACTTTATCAAAAATAGTGCCATTATCAAAAATAGCATGTCAGATGTCCTGACAAGAGAAAATATGTACCAATCGAATGCCTGTTGAAAACTTGGTTGCAGCTTGAATAGGAATGCTTGTGGCAGTCTCCTCCTCCTGATGTTCTATATCGGCCTTGTGTGTGGCCATGATGTGTGAGGCAGGTAGGTCAGAAAATTCCTGGAAAGTGAGAGAAGGTTGATCTATACCGTCAAAGTTATATATAACCTGTTTATGAATTTTTCCCTGGAGTAATTTCAATACTAACTAATAAAGTATTCATTTATGAATACACGACTTAAAATTAAGACAAAATATTTATACCACTTTAATTGTGCTTTCACAGTGGCACCATAATATCTGACCAGAATTCCATACATAAAACCAGAAATTTGAAATCTTTAAAAAAGATCAATTAACAAATAAATAGCTGCAAGTGAAAGGGATTGACAACAACAAAATCCGGATTTAATGGAATAATCAGAGTCTCATTTTAAATGTTACAGTTTAAGCATGTTCTAAGGCATACATGTATGTATTTAAAACAAAATCAACAAGTTCTAATACACAGATATTTCCTTCAAATGAACAAAGGTTTAATTTCATTTCTGTTGTTCAGATTGACTCTCTTGATGTTTCAAGGATTCCCAGTCGAACTCTTACTTATATGGCGTCATGTGATAATTTTGAAAGGAGGCAACTTAAAATGAATAGAATTTCATGAAATGTATTTGGGAACTTATCCTCTTTGTCAAAAATTGTCAAAAATAAAACCTAAATTTTTGGGGCTAAAGTAATTGATTTCTCGATACAAGTTAGTAGTGTTTTTAGGAACGCTCTGACTTAGAATTTAAAATAATTCACCAGCTCATCTAAAAGAGCTTCTGTGTTTTTCTTCTTTAGATTCTTTTTGTCCATTTTGGCCTCTTCTTCATACAGATGTTTTCTGACTTCACTTGTTTGTTTTTCTTGTTCTATCAGCAACTCTAAGTATTCTTCTTCACGACCCTACACAAAAGTCAACACAAAAATATGAATTAATAATAAGCATCTCTAGGTATTCTTTTTCAAGACCCTACACGAAAAGTCCGTGCAAAAACATGAATTAATAACGAGCATTTTTAAGTATTCTTTATTATTACTAAACACAAATTCAGAAATACCAAACACATCATATCAAAACCTTTGTTTACCTATATTTATATAAGATGTTTGAATTGTCCTACATAAACATACCAATTTGGATTTGTTTTTCATAATCTGGTCTTTATTGTCCCTACGGTACTCGTCTATCATCTTCTTGGTATTTTCCACATCATCGTTATTTGTGAGATTAAACACTGAAATTAAATTGATCAATTATGGTTTTTTGTTGAGGTGAATATGTGGTTATATGGGTTATGTGGACCTGAGAAAATTATATGGACTGAGATGATGTTTAAATTATTAAACCAGATGGAATGTGTGAAAAATGTCAAGAGGAAAGCACTGCATTTGGCAGAAAGCATTGTGATGTTACAATTGAAGTGACGTCATAGAGTGAATATTGACCTGCTGTTTCTAAAAATAGTAACACCAAGTCAATATCAAAAATCACCGACGTCCATGTGATCATGATCCAACCAATGAGGATGTAGATTAATGTGTGACATCTCATATTAGACTCTAGCTAGCATATCTGCAAATATTAGTCAAGTTTAACAGCTCACTAGAAATACGACACCATTATAGATGTAAATAAATCAAGAAGTTCCCCATAAATATGATGGTTATTAACCATGTTCAAATAAAAAGCCATGATTAGGAACAATCAGAGTAGATACATTGTTTTTGTATAAGGGAGAGAAAAACTGAAGAAACATCATGTGTACCTAGCTAAAAAAAATAAACATCAGTAGCATTCCTATGAAGATAACTTAGTCCACTACATACCAATTGTTTCTACCATCTCTAGGTAGTCGTTGAAGCCATTGAGTGTATCAAAGTCCTCTTCTTTCTTGTTAAAGCTGTTCAAAGACATTGATCATCAGTGAAATTCCAAAATCTTTCAAAAACAGTAAAATCTCAGTATAATGAATGTCCCCTGTTTATTTTGCAATCTCGCTTATATTACTGCCTACCTATCTCATGGTTCTCTTTCCTGTTTTCTTAACCATTCCTTTATTTGTGATTTACGAATTTTACTTCGTACAAAAACAAGGTATGTATGAACGTGTTACAATACTTTCAAAGGTTACTGTCTTGAAAGGTTCAACAAACTTATACACATGTTGTGAATAAAGTAAAACTTGTTCAAAACATGTTTCCAAACTGATACAATTTATTGAATGTTGTTTCTATACATCTCCCTATAAATGTTCTGGATTCTTTTTAATGCCAAAGTTTTACTGAAACAATTAATATTATTTTAATAGAGATATGTTTTTATGAGCAAAAACATATGTCTCTCCCCTTTAACGGTTTAAAAGTTACGGCCCAGACAAGATATTCCTGAAAACATTGCACTTAGATGACCTTTGACCTTGAGATCAAGGTCACAGTGAACAATAAAATCTGTATAGGAGCAAGTTCTAATCGTAATGGGGACCATTACAGAAGTCCTCAAAACTGACCCTATAGTCGCAAATGATGCTTTGATAGAGTTGAGATTAAAACAAACCAATGCCATCAAAATTAGTCACAGTGAGGACCATTGGCATCACCTTGGCGTACACCTTTAAATGTTTGAAACGATCAAGTCTTTTTTTTACCTTTGACCTTGAGGTAAAGGCCACAATGACCTTATGACAGTGCATGCGCTGCACATCGTCTATGGGTGATGCAGGTATACTGCAAGTTTCATCAAGATATCTTCAACAGCTGAAAAGCTACCACCCGGACAAGATCATATTAGAAGAACCAGAACCAGAAGAACCAGTACTAATACAATGTCTCCCTTCATTCGAAGGGGAGACATAATTACAGAAACAAAACCTCATATAAAATTGATACGATTGTCAGTAGGCAAGAGTTACTTCCCTATATCAAGTTGGATTGAAATATGACTTAATAGCAGAGAAGGTGACTGCTATTATAGGGCAATTTCATTCCCTGATTGTTCGGAGGAATATAATTATATATATACTTGTTCAATCATACATATATGAGATTAATAGAATCTTTCACCCCCTTGGGGTTGAGATAGGGGAATCTCAACTCGATGGCAAAGCTTTTTAATTTACCAAACATGAGGCTGGCTGAGTGTTTTGCAGCATAAGAATCCTTCCTTCCATCTCACATTAAGGAGGTGAATGATTCTTTTTCTCCTACCCTGTTGACCCTTTCATATACATAATGTTCATGTTACAAGTTCAATGCATTGTTGACGTGACATATCATACAATTTTTATGAATGGGGGGATCACCCCACCTCAACCCAGGTCCTAGAGTGAGACAAGGATATCTCTCAACAGGAAAAGTGTAGATATGCCTGTTTAGGGTAAGAGAACTTGTGATCAAATGAGGAAACTCACATACCTGATATTCTTCTGACAAAGCACTTTATAGAACATGTATTACTTACTCTTTGGATAATTTCTTTCTTATCTCCACTTCCTTCTCAATGTAGGAGTCCTCAAAAAGTTGCAGTCGGAAGTTGTTCCTGCGCAGAGCAGTACCACATTCTGGGCAGGCCCCAGATCCTTTGATGAACAACAAATCCACACAGCTCTCACATCTGTAATAAAATACCAGATCAAAACGATTCGTCAGAACACAATGCAATGTTATGATTAAAAAAAGCATTCTCTCATACACTGTATATTGTGCAAAATGCATGGTACAGGAAGGGAGGAAATGACATTTGAATGAAATGTCTGGTATTTGCCACAGCCTGGGGAACCACGTGACCAATTCAAAGGCTTCTTAAGAGTGTCAGACAGACTATAGTTAACCAGAGGTCTTGGTTCAGCCAGAGGCATATAAAGCTACATCTATGTAACAATAAGTCTCTGGTTCAACCTCTTGTGGAGGCAATGAATAATAAGCATCTCATCAGTTACACTGGTGCCCACATATAGGGACCCGAAAAATATCTGACACAATATCCAGCCTTACTCTTATAAGCATCGCTGTTACCCCTGGATATTAACCCAAACCCTTGAGACAGGTTCTTTTCTGAACGGTGAGTAATATTATCACCCTGGTAAAATACTAACTGCTTTCTGCTGAACATTTGCATGGCAAACTTTCTCTCCATCTTATTTGATAGATCATTAGACTAGTGAGCCAGAAGTCCCCAGTTAGATTCCTAAGCAGAGGCATTAAATAATGCTGATTATCTCTGTTACAATAACACTTATTAAATACATTTATATGTGTAAGGTGGTGACACATAACATATTCTCAACACAGACTTTAACAAAATATACGAAACAATTTTGTCATAACTGGTGAGGTTGAGCGCAATCCTTCATATGGAAAATAATCCTACATTTGGGTAACATGTGTACTAGTACTGTTTACAGTAAAACTTTTATTGAATTGATTGGGGGAATAAAGAGAAATAAAAACATAAAAATGATCATGTAAAAAAAAGGAACTAAAAAGGGTATCATTTTTCAACATTTACACAATAAATAATATAGTGAGGTAAATTTGTGTGTGAAAAATTATTTCTTCTGATCATGTCCAACTTTTTATTAAAATGACAATTCATATCACCGCCTTTATTCTCCGTTGACTAGTGTAAACATGAGGTGAGCCCAAATCAAGCCATGCTTGACATCACTAACAAGGGAGCGTGTCCAAGGGTTATCCCATATCACTGGAAAAGCTGAATTGCCAGTATTTCCCCCTCTTATTCCTTGGGTGTTACACCATGCCTCCTCCAAGAAGTCTCGATCATTCGAAGACTTACCCAGTGAGTGGGGAATCATGTGGTGCCTTTGTGTACCAGTGCACCTTCCCTAATCACTGGAAATTGGCCTTACCTACACTGGTAGCCAGGGTAATGATGTTGCCATCAAATATATATATGCCCAGGAGCAGGAGCAGGTAGAAGCAGAAGTTAAGTAGAGAAGTAGAAGGAGCTCACTTGCGTTACTGGCACTCATTTATCTACTGACCACATGCAGGTTTGGTGTTGCTACCTAGTGAGCGTGTCCAAGGCTTAATATGCCCCATTATAAACTGGAAAAGCTAGCTAATTCCAGTAAGGCAGCACTTCCCCTTATTATTCCTTAGCTGTTACACTGGTCCCTGGGAGCACCCAGTGCAATGCGAAAGGTGAACATGAAAGTATGTATGTTCTATTTATAATTAATACGGCTATTATTACTCGACCACAGCATAGGCATAATGGAGGTGATACAGTTTGTCATTTTTAGGTCTGATCTAATCATCATCTGTACAATTAAAGGAGTCTAACGTTTTATCAATATAAAAACAACAATCTGTATAAAAATATACTATAAGGGGTATTTTTTATACAGTGTTATAAGACTCATGTGGTACAAAATTGTACCCGATTTTATAATTTGTTGGATTTATGTTGAACGAATGACGCCCTCTTTTGTTACTATTAAAAAATATATCCTTGTATTTCACTTTACTCCCCACTTCAGCGATAAAATTGTTCCTGTAAACAGACCCTGAGGGGCTGTTCCCAAACTAATGCAACACAGCTTGATCAGTTAATGGAAACATTCATGTCTTACAGAGAATGGCCACATATGTTAACGAGTAGTTTGAGAGATGGGTTCCGATATTTGGTTGTTTTACATCTTGGACATCCAAGTTCATCCATCACCAGCCTAGGTAATGATACACAACTTCCCAACTTCCAGCTGCACCAGTCCAAGAACGATAACTCGTAATAAAGCTATGGGGGATGATTCATTATTATCGGATTTCAATTTAAGGCTGAATGAGACATGTACTATCAAAGACTATAATCTTTGGTTTAGCTGATAATATGTATAACTATTGAATTTTACATAATGAACAAAAGCATAAAATGACGCCAAATTATCTTCAGGAATCTCTCTGAAATTAATTACCCCCATAGAGGAAATGCTCTTTTGTCGTTGAGGTAAAATTAACCGCATTTCCGGTTACTTTTCACGTGTTACCAATACTTTACATCAGAAACCTTACGGGTCTTACCTTACACCACATTTGGCACTAGTAATGTCCTAATGATTCCATTGCATATATTCAGAACAACGATAAGAACAATCAGCTTTATACACAGAAAAGTATCAGCCGTACGTTACGTGTCAAATTATGTGGATTCAAACATACGACGTCAGATTTTAGATTGTTTACAATCGCAACGGATTTGCACATCAGCAAGATACATGGCTACCTCAGAAAAAGTTGAACCTACTTGTGCACAAAATGATCAGTCAAAAGAACCCATCAGATTTCAAACAGATGGTTCGGAAGCTTCCCAAACCTCACCTAATGGTCTCTCAGAAACAGATGTGCATCCAAAAGCATCGCCCCCAGTCTCTGTACTTGGAATGAAAGTCCTTGATAAAGAGAAATTCTTGAAGAAAGTCACAGTGCAAGCATTACCCGTAAGAAGAAAAAAAATGAAATTGCTTGCTAAATATTTTGGAGAGTGGACATTTAAAGAATGTCCTGTAACTGTGAAGGGAATGGGCACAGAAAAAGAAAAAGATTTCAAAATTGTAGTTTTTCATCCAGATAAAGTTACATGTGTGGAAGATCTTGGAGAGGATTTTAAAAATAAATTGATTGAAGCTGAAGTTGACTTGAGTGAATGGTTTGAAGATGATGTAGAATTGAACTATGACAGTTGGAAAGCTAAAGAAATTTTACTGGCAATAATTCCAAAAGAGTTGGGGAATGTGTCTGGCTATTCAATTGTTGGCCACATCATACACTTGAACCTGAGGGAAAACCTTCTTGAGTATAAAGAAATCATTGGTAAGTTGTTGATATAAACAACCTGAATCACATTAGACAGCACCCTTTCCCCAATGTCTTTCCAGCCTCCGAGAGGCACAGAATCCATGCTTGAGCATGAGAACGGTTTCATGAATACAGGCCCTCTTGGAGGCTGGAAAGACATTGGGAAAAGTGCGCTGTCTAATGTGATTCAGGTTGTTTTGTTCAGAGTCCCATTTGCAGTTTACGAGTTGTTTTGCCCTGAATCCAATTGTCCGAGGGATGTATCGCCCATATAAAAATATAAGTGTGTAATCTGTGTATAAGTAATAAATTTCAGTTCAGTAAATGTTTTTAATCATCTAAAACTTACTATCTTCATGTTTCATGAATGGTTGTGTTGTCTAAGTTATCTGAAGAATTTCGGGTGTATTATTAGTTCGGGCCATATATGCAGGTCTGGTCGACCATATCTAATACCAGAAAAGACAAATGCAAGACTAGAGAAATCCTCAAATGTGATTGTATTAGCCATACACAACTAAACAGGCTAAAAAGGGAAACTACCTATCACAAAGTTAAATGACCTGGTGCAAACAGGATTTAGGGCGAAACAACCGGGTAGTGTCTTTGTATGTGACCAGTTAAGCAAGAAATGGATAGAATAAAAGGACTTAAGTTACACTCTTGCTGGTACTCTCTGAAAAAGTTAACACATAGTCTGTACTTGGAAGTAATAAATTGGCACTTCCATGTATATAGACTACATTTATGTTCGCACCATGATACAATCTTGTATCTTGCATACTACCATGTATAATAATGGTCAGGACAGAATTAAAAAAAAAAAATCTGCATGGGCTAGTATTCTAAATACATAATGTAGCAGAACTGCATGGACTGGGTCGATCGTCAGCGACCAGGTATAGTAGCTCAATTGGTATAGCGTCCGTCTAGAGTTTGGAGGGTCCAGGGTTTGATCCCCGGTCTTGCCGTGCATTTTTCCTCTCCTGTTACAATAATTATAATATACATGTAGTTGTACTCCTCTGCTCAATTTGCTAGATTTATGTATGTGGAAGAGCCAATACAAGGCCATACAAATGCAACCTTTACACCTGGCAATTATTCCTCTAAGCAAATACATACAATACTGGTAATAATGAAATATTGATGCTTGTCATTATAGATCTGACTATTTCACTACATTTATGATAATAACATTTCCTGAACATGATCAACGAGAACCATGCTTTATTTCACATCATTTACATAAGTTGATGAAATGCTATTTTTATATTGGTAAAAATGTGTTGTCTTCATGTGTTCTTTTATCTACAGGTCAAGTGCTATTGGAAAAACACCACTATATCAGAACAGTTGTGAACAAACTCAGCACCATTGACAACACTTTCAGAAACTTCAAGATGGAGATTCTCGCAGGTGAAGATGACACCATTACAACAGTCAAAGAGAACGGAGTTACATTTAAATTTGACTTTGCAAAAGTCTACTGGAATACAAGACTAGGTAAACATTTCATGTCAATAATCATCATTTATTAGATGCAACTTGTTAAAAAAAAATGGCAGACGTTAAAACATCACTATGTTACATGTGAAATTAAGACTTAGGATCAAAGGGTATTGGGATTTGTGAAAATGGTACATATTTACACCTTTACAAATACGTTTGTATACGTACATGTATATAGACATAGTGTTATCAGTTCTTTTTGTATAGTTATTGGTGGCTGGGCAAAAGGAAACGTTATGACAAAATTCATAAAAGTAGCTTTATAATAATGTGGGTCCCCTTCTAATGGAAACTTTAAATTTATATTGCCTATGTACATATTTATGAAACTTACTACACTTAAGTACCGTCACACCTCAAAACATAATGTTAAATATCCATGACCTTTCAGAATCTTCATGGAATGTCAAGGTCAGAATACTTATTTTATTATCTAAAGAACTGTGAAATAGCATAATGTGGAGGTAAAGAACGATTACAGTGTATATATACTTTCTGTCTGAATTTCAGTTTTCAACCATCCTGCTTTGCCTAGGTCATTACAGTATATAGGATTTGTTGCTCTTGAAAGAGATCCAGCAACATCACAGTAAAAATTTGCCTTTTTTTTCCGGTTCATATTATATATAGAATTTAAATTTCTTAAAATCAGGTACTGAACATGCCAGGATTGCTAATCAACTCCAGAGGGGGGATTTGATGTTTGATGTGTTTGCTGGAGTTGGACCATTTGCAGTTTTAGCAGGAAGGAGGGGTGTTGATGTGTTCGCCAATGACTTAAATCCTCATTCTTACGAAAGCTTGCTGGAAAATGCTACCCTCAATAAGATAAATACAAAAGTGACCTGTAGCAATTTGGATGGAAGAGATTTCATCAGGTCTGTGATGAAACCTGAACTTCTCAGAAGATGGCAGTTAGATTATATGAACATTCACAAGACCTTTGTTGTTATGAATCTGCCGGGGTTAGCTGTGACGTTTCTCGATGAATTCATAGGTTTATTATCGGACAAAGCTTGTGACCAGGACGAATACCCAGACCATCTCTTGCCTTTTGTTCACTGCCATGTCTTTGGGAAAGCAGATGATACTAGGCAAGCTGCCAGGGAGCTTGCAGAGGAGAACCTAGGGGAGTCACTACCAGATGATGCCACCATAAAGTTTGTGAGGAATGTGGCCCCTAACAAGGACATGTATTGTGTGGCCTTCAATGTTCCAAGACACCTTCTATTTAGGAGTGACAAAAACACTACAACATCACAACAACATGCAAGTAAGTATCGATCCCATTCATATAAAAAAATATCATAGTTACGTAAATACTGTAGATATCTATGTGAAATGCATGGTTTGATGTTTCTTGTGTAAAACATGTATCACCACGGATCACCTATGACTTGATGGATCTGCTGTAAATCACTACAGTCAGTACTGTAACTTGTGTGAAAACAGTAAATAATTCTATCCTGCTGTATCTGTTGTCTATATCTAACCATTAATTAATTGTATCCCTACAATGAAGTTACTGGAAACACCAAAATCAGGTTATCTGTCCATCTGTCTTTATTTTTATCCACATTTTATCCACATTACATGACAGTCCTGTGCTGATTTTAATTAAACTTTGCAAACACATAATTAATCAAATATGCCTTTATATGTATGACTTTTCCCAGCTGAACAAACTCTTGTGCCAGGCATTCGGTTGACCTTTGACATTTTGCAATTTCAGAAGTCAAATGGAATTTTCCCTGAATGTATGGAGAGTCATAGACCTATCCTTTACAACCCAAGAGTCAAAACTAATTTTTGGGAGTCTAAATCATGCTCTTGATTGTCTCCTGAAAGCCCAGTTGTCTTAGGCCTACAACTGCTTAAGTATAAAATGAATTTTAAATGTAGTCCAGACTTCTCCTAAGGTACAACACTGATTTCAGTGCATTTTGCACACATCTACCTGTCACAAAACCTATGTTAACTACATGTTCCTGATTGTGTGTATATCCCCCAATCTTAGACTTTATCACTGCATCACTACAACTCTATTGCTTCATGTATTTCATTTATATAAACCTTTTGACTTATATCATATGATAAATATGCACATGCCTTTATCTAGACGGGTGTCAGTTATATAATTATCACACATTATCCAATTCTATTTTACAGACATGTTTTTAAGAGTTCATTTGTTCAGTTTAGAGTTAGCTCATTAAATGTTATTGTATTTCAGATGAAGAGCCCCCAGAAAAGAAGATGAAACCATGTGATGAACAATGATGTTATTCTCCTGTAGATCATGCTCTGATGCCTTCAATAATGTTCAAATTGGTATAAAATTTCAAAATACCTCAGATCAGAAAATGAAGCACTTGAATATAAATAATCTCTCTTAACTGCAGAGTTGAAGGTATAATAAACCTTATATTATATTGGAGGCACGGTAGTCTAGTGGTAGGACAACGGACTTGTGAACGAAGGGTTGCAAGTTTGAGTCACGGCACGGCACTGTGTTGTATCTTTGAGCAAGATACTTTACTCCACTTGTTCCAGTCTACTGATCAGCTGTGAATGAGTACCAGGTTGGGCAGTGCTAGAATTGTTGAATGCTAGCTGTGAGTGCCAAAATGGCAGCACCGACTGTATGCTCCCCAGGGAGTTGAGAAAGATATTGGCTGGTTGCAAAGGCCCTATAACCACGAATAATATTTTGTGAACCGCTTTGAGATGACCTACGAACTATGACCTACGAACTAGGTTGTGATAAAGCAGTATATAAGATCCTAGAATTATTTTAAACTTTTTTCAGTAAATATACGGAAACAACAGAGAACACCGAAATGTGAACAGAACTGTTATTTGAACCTAAAAAGATAAAATTAGGTCAAAGTCTGAACGAGGAAACAATTTACATGGAGACCTTTGGAAAAATAGAGTACATGAGAACTTTCAGTTGACCCTTGACATTAAGCAATTTCAGAAGTCAAATAAAGTTAAAAAAAAACTCAAAACATATGTCAAATATTCCTGTCCTTTAAAACTAGGAGTCCAAAGTCACAATTAGGGAGCCCAAAACATAATTTCAAGAATCTACTGAAAGCCTAGAGTACATGGCAGGTGAAATAAATATTTACCTGTTATTCACAGACGTGGAATGAGCACAGATGAACCACCAGCTGAATCAAGGTAGATCAGCTGACCAGCAATAGGTGATAATGCTGCCGCAATCATAGGTGATGTGGATTAACTTTGAACAGCTTGTTCCTGCATACAATACCACAGATGTACAGTTGATTTCAATTTATAACCTACCAATCTCCTACTGAATTGGTAATTCAACAGGAAGTCATACTTGAACTTCGCGGGACAGAAAAGAAATGGTACCATCAAACATGCAATTCCAGGAAATGTATCTTTTAATTGGTAAAATGTAACTAATGCCACTTGCTCTGTTAATAATTTCCACTTGATGTGTAAAATGAAGAATCATGCCTTGTACTCATTAAGAATTCATCATAAGTTGAACACTTCGGCCTTATGTTTGGGCCAAAATTTATGATGCAAACATATTGATAAACTGAACTAGACTATATGTTCTTGTAAACAATCTTTGTCTTAAATGATATGTACATTTACAGGATATCTGGGTCAGTATTCATGAAACTGTTTGCATGCTCAAGCATGGATTTTGTGCTTAACCCCAATTTCTTGTTCCGGCTATAAATTAATAAGAAAAAGTTATTCTGTCAATGATTTGGGAAAACATTGAAGAAACTTAGGGCAGAAAATTGTTTTCAATGTTTATATTTGACGTTTTGATCATTTGACATGATTTAAGTGAGTTACAAGAAAGTTGGTTTGAGTACAGAATCCATGCTTGAGCACAAGAACGGTTTCATAAATACAAGCCCAGATGTTCTGGAAGGGTATGTATATTCTCATTAATTTACAACTCTCACCATATAAATCAAGGTAAAAGCCAGGTAATCCAAGGTCCTCAAAGAGAGAGAGGGGGCAGTGACATTGAAACCACTATGCACACTTATGGGGATACTTTACCTTCATATTGCATAAATAAATATAATATTTCTAATGAGATCAGTGCCGACCAATAACAGTATCTGATTTCTGTACATCTCTGATTTTGTATATCAAAAAGAAAATCAATTTCACAGTTTTCTGGTTTGAATTTGATTCCACAAACTTCAAACATATTGCTAGAATAGCACTTCAAATGCTGCATTGAAAGAGTTGGACTAAATATATTTCATCAATAAAGAAAATACTTTCAACACAATGACCAATGTCTCATTTGTTTAGAATGCATACAGATTTTTGGTAAGTTCTGCATCTTTCCATCAGTGGGTAGCAAACATGTATGCTTGTATGCTCAAGCATACACTAAAGTTTTCAAGATTTCTTTTCAATCATATATTTTTTTTTTTTTTTTTTTTTTTTTTTTTTTATGTTTAATATGGACTGTCCGTATCAATCATAAAAAAGAAATAATAAGAAATATTTCTTGAAACTTTTAGTCTGATAAATTAGCGTTATTATGTCTGTATACAGGGAAAAATCTTGAAGGTTTATGTAGAATTTTATATAAAAAAAAACTACTTAGTAAAGTACAAAATTTAATAGTATTCATAATAAAGTCGGATTTAACTTGTTAATAATCAGATTAAAGGATTTCCCAGAATACAAGAGATTGATTCTAGGGCCTAGTAGTATTCCTTTTTTTCCCTCCTCCCCCGCGGACACTTGACCCCCTAGGAACCATACACTCCGAAAAATGGTTTGCTACGCCACTTCCCATGGTAATGCATAGCGAGCGCAATATGAGTCAACTTGTACATAAAATTCTATGCTCGGTGAGTACAATTGGGATGTCACTGATCTGATTGTTAACACTTACGTTTCTGTTCAAAGAACTTCACAAACATTTGTAAGGAAAATGAAATAACTTAAAAAAGCCTATTTTTTACCAACATCAATCAGTGTATATACAGGACCACTTTTTCAGTTACTCTCCCTTGCTTAATGAACAGTATTTCTGAATTGTCTCTCTGTTGTGTAGTTCTAATTGTGGTACCTGCATAAGTACAGTAAGATACCTCTATTAAACCACAAAGAAATATATGCTATGTGCATCTACAATTGTAATGTATTTTAAAAATAAGTAAGTCTTTAATCTTTTTTTGTGTTGACTGCAATGCGAGGCTGCAATGCGAGGTGCCATATAGGTACTAATTTGTCGGCGTCGTTTGTGTCGTCCTAAACAAGGTTTCAGCACGATAACTTGAGTTCCCTTAGGTTGATTGAGCTCAAACTTCAAACAGTGCTTCCTTACTGCACTTGAACTCAAACTTCAAACAGTGCTTCCTTACTAAAAGTGCTTGCTTTGGAATGCTTTTCAGGTCCAAAGGTCAAGGTCACCGTTGCTATAAACAGAAAATCTGTTTCCGTGTGATAACTTGAGTTCCCTTGGGTTGATTGGAACTTCATGCAGTGCTTCCTTACTGAAAGTGCTTGCTTGGGATGGCTTTTCAGGTCTCAAGGTCAAAGTTCAAGGTCACCGTTACTATAAATAGAAAATCTGTTTCTGTGCAATAACTTATTACAAGTTATTATAAGTCGATTGAGCTCAGTCTTCAAACAGTGCTTTTTTACCACAAGTGCTTACTTTGGATTGCTTTTCAGGTCAGAAGGTCAAAGGTCAAGGCCACTCTTGCTATAAATAGAAAATCTATTTCCTTGCTGGAGCTAGTGTCTTTGGGTTGATAGAACTCACACTTCATACAGTGTTTTCTTACCTATACTGCTTGCTTGGGATCGCTTTTCAGGTCTTAAGGTCAAAGGTCAAGGTCACTTTTATATAAATAGAAAATCTGTTTTCCTGCGATAACTTGAATTTCTTTATGTCGATAGAGCTACATACAGTGCTTTCTTACCAATAGTGCTTTCTTTGGATTGCCGTTTAGGTCCAAATGTCAAGGTCACCATTAGTATAAATAGAAAATATGTTTCTGTGCCATTTCTTGAGTTCTCTTGGGTTGATTGAACTCAATCTTTATACAGTGATTCATTACCAAAAGTGCTAGCTTGGGATGGCTTTTCAGGTCAGAAGGTCAAAGGTCAAGGTCAACGATACTATAAATAAAAAATATATTTACGTGCAATAATTAGAGTTATTTTGGGTTGATTGAACTCAGGCTTCATACAGTGCTTTCTTACCAATACTGCTTGCTTGGGGTTGCTTTTAAGGTCTGAAGGTCAAAGGTCAATGTCGCCGTTACTATAAATAGAAAATCTGTTTCCATGCGATTAATTGAGTTTCTTTTGGTCGACCGAGTTCGACTTCATACAGTGCTTTCTTACCAATACTGCTTGCTTGGGGTTGCTTTTCAGGTCAGAAGGTCAAAGGTCAATGTCGCCGTAACTATAATAAGAAAAACTGTTTCCGTGCGATAAGTCCAGTTTTCTTGGGTCGTTCAACCTCAAAACTTACCCTGACTGCAGGCGACAAATATCCGCTCCTGTGGAATTCTTGTTTTCATTTGATTTTTGAAGTTCCAAGAAAATCAACGTACATGCCAGATTATTCATAATATAAAACATTTGCCAGGAATGAAACACACATTATTGTCTGTTTATTAAACAATTTCATCAGTAATACTTCCCATTAAAAACTCCTTTTTCATGTAATTGTAAAGGTAATGTAGTTTTAGTTAACTACGTGTGAAAAATATAGTAAATGATAAGTAACAATCTCCACCAACATCAGTAGTTAGTCTATAAAAGTTCTTGCACGTTTTGTGTGCGTTCATCATATCATATATCTTGGTTGAACCTTGGAGTCTTTCATTTGTTCCTGGTAAACACGATCAAACAGTTCACTCTGCGCTACCGTGAACCAGTTCTTCCAGTCTCCAACTTCACCTGAGGAACAATGAATCACATATATTATTAACGATTATTTTAACCTTCTTGTAAACAATTCACAAGTATGTCATATTATTTTGACATCTGTAAGTATGGCATTGATAGTTGAATCTCTTGAAATTTCAGGTAGATCACAGATACGCATATCTGTAGGTTTGCAGCTCTATCGCTTAATTTTTTTTCATTATAATACATCAAATACTTTGGTATCCTTCGACTTGAATATATCCCGAGTGTTCATACGTAGGGCTAATGACTTAGACATTAAGTTTCCATATACAGTTAAACGAAAAAGGTACGTTTAAAATCCTTAATAATATAAAATGGACGGGAAATGATGGAATAGTAGAAGATATATATATCTTGAACCTTTTCGATATATTGCTGGCACATTCCGCTTCCAACAACCAATCATCTCCATATTGGCTTTCTCCTTCTTCATGCGGTCAAACTGGCACAGGTTGGTGACTTCTTGTAGGAAAGACTGGTCACAATCTACCTCGAGGAACTTGGAAAGCTGTGTTACCCCACGGAGGCTGTCCTGCAGTCACAAACATATATATACTAGTATATATCCGCCTGAAGAAGCCCTAGAAGTCGGACAGGCCTAGCGGACGATCTGAATGATTTTTGTTTTTATTCTATATTTTCCTTCGCAAGGAGTTATTTATTTATTATCTAGTATATATATATAGTGTTAATATCAAAGTTCACACGTACAAGATGCTGTTCGATTCTTAGTAAGGTATTCCCATGTAAAGGCCGCCGAATCATAGACAATGTTTTGCCAGATGACTCTCGTGAGGGTTTAGTAGGAATGTAAACGACCAAAAAATAAAAGTGCCCGCGGTGGTTGTTTTCCATAGCATGTGATATAAACTTAAATGTTGTTGAATACTTAAAGAATAACCCAAGATTGAGTTTAGAGGATGGGCTTCGACTTACGGAAAGAGTATTTCTGCCGTTTTCACAATATAAGTTCTTTTTTTTTCTAGTGAATATGATAGCATTCCAGTCAGTCACTTCTAGTTGAAACAAGCTCAAAGCTTTGTAACCCTATACTAAATACATTTTCCCATTTTAATGCTTTTATGAAACCAGCCCTCGTTACCTCTTTCATGTCCTCGTAGGTCGTCATAAAAATAGGGTACTCTGGGTTGTCCGCCATGAACGTCTCCCACTTGACCGTGTAGTCGAACCAAGACCCATAGTCAACTATAAATTAAAATGGTAGTAATAATGAAAAACGACCATACATTTGCAATTAACAAAACGGTCGTTACTGGACTGATAGTATGCACTCCATGCACATGTACTATCCTCGTCTGGTAATGATAGGTCCTCACTGATTTCCGGAATTATTTTAGTATATCAAAATTTAAAAAAAAACATTGTGTTGTTTTCAGTTAAGATAGAAGCAAAAATTATATTTCCATATTGTCAATATGTTGCCGCTATTTAAAGGAAGAGGAATAATCAGAATACCTTGTCACTATAAATTGTTGTACGTGGTATGGATGGAAGATTAGGTTTTACGATTACATTTTCGCAATAGATGGAGGTAGGGTCATGTTTTTGTACATATAATCAGGTAAGACTCGTAATCTTATAAGATCATGCTTTACCTATGTAAATATTGTTACGTTTGCAAACAATACCATTGGCTAGTGTGTATCGTGTCTTTAAATGTAATATATAAAATATGTGATTTTTACGTACCATCGCCTTTTAAGTATCTTGGAACGTAGTCATCCCATTTCCCCGAGAAATCATAATCAAGTATGTTACTATGATGGTTGAAAAATGACACAGCCACGTCTTTCGGATTTCGCATCAAGTAAATTATCTTGCACTTTCGTTTGACGAAATCTTTTGGCAGCTGCTCAGAACACATGGCTGTTGAGAACACGTGGGGATGTTATGTTTCCGTGTGCTGTTAGTTCTATCATGGCCGTGTCCTTGTTAAAAGGGATCCGTTCTGCCCTTTTCTTCACCAGCATACTAGCCACCTCCCATATCCAATGAGTCCCTGGACGAAGCAAAAATATCGTGATCAATTGGGATCAATACGCGTGATGCCGGTACTTACGGTTGATGATGTGTATGTTTGTTAAGGGTTTACCGCTTAAGTCATACCAAAATAATAGCACCATCTCGCCTTGATACATTTATCCAACATTGGCTTCAACAGAGCCACAAGGAGTCGCCACAAGAAGGTGAAAGTAATATATTTTGTTTAAACTTTTCGTTGTGCCTAAGTAAAAAGATTCTTCATTTGATCATGTCATGCAAACCAATTCCTTCCTCTTAGTATGCAGATGATCAGAGATTGATCGGGTGAGAGGGAAATTATTTAATTTAAAAATACCTGATTTTGGATATGCACAAATCATGAGATCGCCATTTCGAGCCTGCCAGCCGGATATTGACCGCAGATCTTCTTCCAGGTTTTTGAGGTTGAATACTGGGAAATAGTAACCGTCAACATCCACAACTGTGAGAGTGGCCCCACCATTGTCCGGTAACTTTTTAATAGGCATCTGTGATGGGCATGAAATTCACTGCAACATTATTACTGATATACGTGTGTTCCTAATGTCTTCTCTATATAACAACAGCATGCATACACTGTTCTAGAACAGGAAAGAAGTATGGAAAATGGTATGTGAAGACAGATACCGGTAGTGGTAATTGGATAATGTGTGTGGAATACTGTACATCTGATGTCTTTAACAAATTGTGTAGTGAAGGGTTAACAACTAGTGACGTATGGTTTATTGTTACCTGTTTCGTTACTATATGTCTATAATTTAGAAACTTATATTGTTTAAGTTTCCGTTTACCAGTCACCGCATGTACATTATGTACATTCCCATTCCTGTTGTTGGTGTTTCGTTAATTGTTTGTGTGTGTTGTGATGATATTGTTTGAGTACTGGCATGGCGTATTAGTTATGTATGGTATTACATTTTCTACCAAAGGCTCGTTGCATTAATATCGCATCACCATGAATGTAATAGAAGTTGCGACTCTGTGTTTGTAACATTATGACGTCACAAATGTAACGTTTAATACGGGGGTGAGTGTGTGTGTGTGTGTGTGGGGGGGGGGGTGTGGGGGGGGGGGGGGGGGGGGGGGGGGGGGGGTTATTCTAGCTACGTTCTGTTCAAATACACATGCACAACAAAATGACAGTTTGGAATACAACAATTTCTGATAAGTGAGTTTTCTATACTGGAACCCCTGCTCCATAGAATTTTTTAAGGTATGTTATACTGGTATGGCTATGGAATACTTACCTAAAATATTGAAGTAGAATGTCATGTTGTATGATTCTTCTACACAAAAGATATATAACCTCGCGACCCGTCTAAATCAAAATGACACCTGCATCTCTAGGTCTAACTTGTTCCCATAGCTAAATTTAATTCCAACTCGATATGTCTCATAATTTAGAAATTTTGAGTGTTATATTTAATAAAAGGGTTAAAAAGGAATGCAGACTTCAAAAACCTACGTTGTTGGTTACCAATATTTTCAATGCGTTTATTCGTATGCTCAAACACGACATACGAAATGCATACTGATTAAAGCAGTGATGAATATATAGAATATAACGAGAAGTAGTAGAGGAAAACATGTGCCAAGTTCCCTGGAATAGAAATACCCTTTATATACGTAAAGTTTGTTTATACAGAAGAGACTTACCGTATTATCCTACAGCGGAGACAATGCTATTTGTCGAATTTCGAAAGTGATTGACCGTGAGCATAAACAGGCGACAGCTGCACAATGCGTTAAACAGGTTGCAAAAAATTATAATCAATATGATTATCTCAACACAATGCAGTACAACACCTTAACATGAATGTATTATTCTTGTTCAAATTGAAGTAGCCTGAATATGTATAGGGTCCATGTTCAGCTCGTTCGTTTGTCCATAAACATTATTTTTGTACTCGGTGTGGCTCATACTGTTTAGCATATGTTTAAATACATTTCTACCGTATACGTTTCCGCACTACATTGTGTTTATTTTGTGAGTATAATGTCAGCATACATGTGTTTATTAGGTATAAATAAACGTATATGTAGATATTTTCTGCGCCGAGCCATTTCATCATCATACATCTGCATGTTTCCTGTTTTTCTTTCTTTTATTTTGCTATTTATTTATTTCCCCTTTATAATTAGGCTTGATTTCCATTCTTTCACACACAATTGGTCATATTCTGGTCGGGGTATTTTATTAATACTTGTCACGTTTGATTCCCAGTTAAGCTTGCTACATACTTATTCTTTGTGCCGAAGTTACCTTCAAATTATTTCAGTTTCTTTCGTATTTACTTCTGCAAACATTTGGCTTATATTTATTAGATCCTGCTCACAATCCTTTTTTTTTTCTAGACCAATCCCGAAACATCATCGAATTATTTTACAAATTTGAAATCTTTGGACATTTCTTTGTATCTTACTCAAAACGTCGTCAGCAAGTTGGGCAACTATGACATATTTTGGATTAATTTTTATCTTTTTCATATTGGTATCGTTTCTCAACTTTGTAGCTAAAAGTTCAGTGGCACTTACAAAGATCAAACAGGAGAGAGTTGACAGCATTGCCTAATTCCTCTGGAGATATCGTAGTTTCCATTTAACCAATTATTGTTTTTGACGCATCCTATGAAAAATTCAGTACATAATTGTAACCCATTTTTATGCCCCCGCCATAAAATGGGGGGCATATAGTGTTACCCATATATCCGTCCCGTCCCGTCCTGTCCCGTCCCTTCCCCGTCGCGTCGCGTCCCGTCCCGTCCCGATTCGATGTAAACACTTTGACAGATTTTGGTCAAACTTTATACAAAGGTCAAGTATGAGTATACTTCGGACATCTTTGTATTTCAGGGATCCAAGGTCAAGGCCAAGGTCACACTTGCTATATATAGAAAATCGTTCCGTCCCGTCCCGTCCCGTCCCGATTCAATGTAAACACTTAGCAACTTCATTCTTTGACAGATTTTGGTCAAAATTTATACAAAGGTCAATTATGGGTATACTTCGGACATCGTTGTATTTCAGGGATCCAAGGTCAAGGCCAAGGTCACTGATGCTATATATAGAAAATCATCTACTGATTCAATTTAAACGCTTAGCAACTTCATTCAATATGTTATGGAGATGGTAATAACATACAGAAAAAACAAATGAATATTAAAATCAACTTTAAGTGTAGTACTTTGTGTGTGTGCATGTTTCAGGGTATCAAGATCAAAGTGCTTGTAACTTTTTATAGAACACTGAAATTAATTTCACATGGCAGCGGGGGCATAAATGTCTTACAGACATTTTCTAGTTTAAATGACTTCCCAAATTCATTTTTTTTTTAAACTTTTAAACAACTTTTCTTTACTTGTATTTGCCTTATATTAAAACCTTTACATCTTTTTTGATATTTATTTTGGTCCGTGCTGATTATTCTCACTGCATGATTGATTTTCACGTAGTATTGAGAACATGTGCGGCTTTTTTATAGTCAGCATTTAGCAAAGATGTATGTCTCCAATTTTTTAATCCATATAATCATTCTTTTTATAAATTAAAGAAACAACACCCCCTTGTTGGTGATGTACTTAGCGATCCTTCAATATGTTCCATTTAATGACTCAATACTAGTATAGTTGATACTTTCCAGTTCTATAAAACTCTACAGATAACCATCAGTCCTGGTTTATAGCAGTTTCACATTCCTTTAATGCTATTAGGCCATCACATACCTATACATCTTCAGTTTGGACGATCTTATATATTACTTATAAAGATATGCAAAAATGAAATCATTCTTTTTCTCAATATTATGGCGGGTCCTCTACAATATCTTTATTTTCTAGTAATCGCTTTTTTTTTTTTTTTTGATTCTTGATCTTAAATGAGCTCTTTTTAGCTTGCACATCATACATACGATTTAGTGGTGTTTTTTTCTATTTTAGTTATTTTATCTATACTATTATTGTCTGTCTCTTTATTTCGTTTATTTGCTAACATTTTTCATATCATTTGATATATATTTGCTGTTGTTTCTGCAAAAAAATATGATTCATCCTGTTTAAGACTTTCTATTAAGGATTTTTTTATTTGAATCTGATAATTCTGCTATTCTTTTTTATACTATTGTTAATTTTCCAAAGTCCTTTATATTTTCGCGTATTACGTAACCTATTTTAACGGATAAATAAGCCGATCGGATATCGGAAGAAGGAACATCACTTCAGTTTTCAATTTAAAATGATCTATTATTCTAGCATCATCCGTTGACTCCGTGTAAAGCGATTTTTCGTTTTGTTTTTAATTCTCCATACATCCGTTATAATGTATGTCGTTTAAATAATTATGCTAGCCTGTATGTGCTGACGGTTCTACTTCTACTATTGTTTTAGTTTAGTCAAATTGTCAAATACCTCATTAAAATCACCTCCAATAATTAAGATACGTTGCTTGAAGATTACAACAACATAACTAATACCCTTCAAGAAAGAATTTCTATATTTCCTACAGTTTTACAAATTGATAGAATGTTTCATCTAATTCCATATATATGATTATTTATCTACCAGCTGTGTCATGCGTGTTTAATTCATCAATATTAATTAAGCGTTCTGTTAACCAAACTTGTAACTCCTCAACTATTTGTTTGATTAAAACTACGCAAAGCTGCTGACCTCCGTGTCAATTTTATCTGTTAAGTCATTCGTAAAATTGGTTTTCTGAAGACAAAGATATACCAAATTTATGATGTTTTAGCCACCCATAGACTCCATGTCTTTGTGTTGATCTCTCAAACCTTGAACAATCAAAGTTAACACATTGAGTTCATTCCTTTTGTTGCAACCTATAAATAATTTACATTATTTCTGTTCCTTTTGTTTTATTATTACCCTTCTCCATTGGCTGAGTAGGTGAAGTTCCATGTTTAAACGATTTTTTTCATTTCTCAGAAGCTCTCACATTGCTATGATGAAAGGTAACGTTAATACCTACCTGATTTTGAATATGCACAACTCATCAGGTCGTTATCTGTTGCCTCCCAATCAGGTATTAAACGTAGTTCTTCTTCATGATTTTTGATTGTGTTTGATGTTGGGAGGTAGTAGCCGTCCAGATCCAGAACTGTGAGAGTGACCCCGGCATTGTCGGGTAACGTTATGATAGACATCTTGAAATGGTAGGAATTCACTACAATATATATATATATATATACAATATATAGTAGATAATAAATAAATAAGTCCTTGCGAAGGAAAATATAGAATAAAAACAAATTTTTCAGATCGTCCGCTAGGCCTTTCTGCCTTCTAGGGCTTCTTCAGGCGGATTGATGTTTCAATATATATATATATATATTATAAAAAGAAAAATTCTCAACAACGAGTCTTTAGTACTTTCATCTCTTCTAGGTGATTCTTCAGTAACTGGGTTACGATATTTCAAATGCGGAAATCTGCAGCTAATCACTATTGATTGCACTGGGAAATGTATATTTTGACTGTTGTGTCAAATGTCAAATTATATACGATATGACGAAATAATCACATCACGAAACGATGAGAGCTCATGAATTGTAACTTCCAATAAGAACGATATTTTAGTAACGCAGGTTTGCACCGTTTGCTTAAATCACTCCTCCTAATGGAGCTTGTGTGGCATTGTATGGTTGCCCTATTATACCGGCCTGTATTAGAAAAAATCTCATTAGAAATTCCGAGTGTTAGGTTTAATGATAGGGTAAAAAGGAACGCACACTTAAAAACGCACCCTGCTGATAAATACAATTTCCAATGCACCTATTTGTATGCTGAAATACGACATTTAAAACATTTGCTGACCAAAACGCCAATACATATCGTAGTTACAGTTGCATTGTAGCCATTGGTGTACACAATGGCTACTGTACAAGTGTATGCGTATAAACCTTAACAGTTTGACGAATGGAATGATTAACTTTAAAACAAGGTAAGTATGGTTGACAGGCTATAAATGACAAGAACATGTGTTGTTAATTTGATATTAGTGATAGTATGAGAGGACTTAATTATTTCGCCCTTGACATATTACATTATCAATATTATTTTAAGGCATACCTGCTATTTCTGCCAGGCGCTTATAAAACGTAGACAGACAAAAACAAAGATATAAATTAATAGATGAAATATTTACAACATTCTGTTTGCACAGCCCTTAGATAAACCTACCAACCACATTAGTTGTCATACTATAACTATAGCGAGAACTTCTGAAAGTGAATAGAATAGAACAGTTTTAGGATATTTCCGTCGTACTGTTTGAATACGTCTCCAAATTCAAATAATTGCCACCTGTCGCTTGACAGAACTGGTAACCACAGAGAACACTAACTTATTCCTTCAGAAGTGACTGTTTAACGATCTGGTAAAACTGTTTGAAACCATCAACAAAGTTGAAACTATTTCCCGTCGTTGTTTAGCAAGTAAACAAAACTAATGATGGTATGTGATACAACTTTGAGTCCCAAACATCATAGAATCTCCTTGAACGAAGCTGTAATGTATACTTAAATGTTAAACTTAAATTCGTAAAGTAACATCTTTAAATAAATAATCTGTATAATCCGTATAATCTGTCGGTTCATCGTTAAGCTTAGATTCCAACTGATCTTTCGTTTTTTCGCTTCGGCGGGTTTTTGTCTTTTCGTTATTTCGTTTTTTTCGCTCGGTGTTATTTCGCGAGCGAAAAGACGAAATGTCATATATAAGACACCATATGTTCTCCCAAGTCAAGGCTATGTAATGGAAGCCCATGATAAAAAAAGTACAACATTATGTGACCGACAAACTGGCCAAGCCTTCAGCGTGACCCCTACTGACGATAAGGACATGGACCGACAATCTGTAGATAACATGTGTTGGTAAAGTGCCAGTTCCCAAAGGCCAGACGGACGACAAGATGGGTGCTCCACTGTTCAGTTTCGTTGTAGCAGCACTTGGAGTGTTATTCCTTCAAACTTCAGCTCTACCTCCTAAACGTGAGTATACTTTACCTTACGATCCCCGAATACTTATAGGAGTATCAAGTATATGATATGTTGCAATAATATAGAATGAACGAATTAATTAAAAAAATGTATCGTAAGATTTTCATACAAAAGAAAACTCATTGCCATTAAATTCAGAATTCAGTGTGTTTCTCCCCTCCTTCTTCGTCCTCCAGACTAACATGTTCCCGATGTTGCATTTTAGGATTAAATTCATTAAGCAGGTTTGAAACGGAGTAGCGATCAGATGTATTCGATGAGCAAACAAAATGTCTGATGGCACTTGAACTTCATACCGGACTGGCAATGGAAAACATCCTAATCTTCCCTTAGATTTACATTTCTTAGGATTATAACTGTATATCATTATTAACACTAAGCATTTTAAGAAATGACTTCCCTAATATGATATCTTGACACAAATCCCTCTTATTATATGTTAAGAACAGCCTCTGACAGAAACTGACTTGCCTGTAATCCCAAACGCTAGCTTTATGACGACATAAATGTCATTATAAACACCGAGAAGTGAATTCCAGTGCGCACTGGAAATATGGTTGTTTGTAAAAGCGAGTACAATTGAATACACAAGGAAACCATTTTCCATTGTATGGCATTTCCACTATATAATAACCTCACCAAATTGCATTCATATCAAATATGAGTGGCAAGGACAAATTGTTGATATCATCATTAGTATGACGTCATGATTGTTATATTGGAAAGCACTGATCCACCCTTAAAGATGGCTGGTATTACATCATACAAAACGCTTAATTGAAATGTAAGCTTAATTTGGATAAAATTGATTGATTTTCTGTGGCATCAATATATTTCTATTCAGTCAATATGAATGACGAGTAGAATATATATATTCGACATGCAGTGCTAGACTGCTTCATTGAGTTACATTTGAATAGCAACCATATCGACGATATAAATGCCGACTAAAAGCAGTTCAATGCTTAAATAGATGTTTTTAAATCCTACATTGTTGTTATACCTTTCTGCATGTTGAAATTTCATTTCAAACCTATACAAAATATAGAATGCAAGGTTATTGATTTATTTTAGTATGTCCTGGAGGAGTTTTCAGTTATATGCTATACATGTTTCCACAAGTGTTAGCAGTAATGAGCTTGCAATTGAGAACTAGAAAGAGTATGATAATTTTGTCTTTCGTATTACAGAATGTAACGAAAAAGCTGATATCGTTTTCATTCTTGATTCTTCATCAAGTGAGGGAACGACGAATTTCCATAAACAGTTGGATTTCGTGAAGAACTTTGTTCAGCAGTTTGATGTAGGTCCTGACAAAACACAGTTCAGTGCCATCACATTCTCGACTCACGTAAAAAATAATTTCTGGTTGAACGAGCACCAGACCCAATCATCCGTGCTGTCTGCGCTTAACAACGTGAACTACCAGTCAGGTATCACGAACACTGACCAAGCTTTGAACTTTGCCAGACAAAATGCGTTCCTCGCAAACAATGGCGGACGTCCAGACGCCGAGAAGATTGTCATTGTCCTCACGGATGGTCAGTCAACAAGTCCATCTAAAACTTCGGCCGCTTCCAACACTCTTCATCACAGCGGAGTCGAGGTTATCTCTGTGGGAATCGGTAATGGCATTACGCAGTCAGAACTGAATGTCATCGCCAGTGACCCACAGCATGTCTTTCAGGTATCGTCGTTTGACGCTTTACAAAGCATCCAGACTGAACTGACGAATGCCGCCTGTCAAGCTCCAACTGCCGGTAAACGAGTTATTGTCTCGAGCTAAATTAACATCAAATGTTACTCTCGATACCTCATTTCTGGGTCGATATTTTCTTAAAACTCAAAATATTTTAATAAAACGACTTTATGAAACAAATGTTCTTTTCTTAACGGTACCTGTTCAATTGTCCCCACATGGTAATTAGTGTTGTTACACATAAATGTGCTGCGTCTCTCGTGTACACATGCCTTTTTGAACACTTTTTTCAGCGTGTAGTAAGAAGAAGGCTGACATCGTGTTTGTACTCGATTCCTCCAGCAGTATTGGATCCACCGACTTCACTAAACAGCTGGATTTTGTCAAAAATAATGTCCGCCAGTTCGACATTGGACCAGACGACACTCAGATCAGTGTGGTGTCCTTCTCCGACAGCGTATTTGATGAGTTCCATTTGAACCGATTTACTGCTAAAACGCAGGTCCTCGGGGCCATATCTGCTATCAAATACCACACCGGTACAACGTACACAAACCTAGCCCTCGCACATGTCAGAAATGAGACCTTTATTGCAGCCAATGGTGGCCGACCGGATGCAGCTAAAGTGGTCATTGTCTTGACCGACGGCCAGTCCACTTCGGGCCAGGCAACTATAGCCGAGGCCAACAAGCTTCATATGACGGGAGCAGAAGTAGTCGCAATAGGTATAGGAAGTGGAGTCGACAAGGGTGAACTCAATGCCATCGCTACAGACCCTGCACACGTTTTCGAGGTCCAGAACTATGACGTATTGTCATCCATCCAGCACAGCCTTGAACTTGCCACATGTAAAACAAACGGTAAGAATCGAACGTATACAATATATGACTTCCATGTATGACAACTTTGAAAATATAAGTTCTTTTCTTTTCATTTTTGCCACATGCATACCTCTAAATGAGACACAAACAGTAAATATCTAAATATAATTTTACTTTAAACTGCATTATAATATTGTCATTTTAATGAAGTAATGTCTCTGTCATCTCGTGTTGGAAAAATGTGTCCCTGTTTCAGAATGTCGTGGACAGAAGGCCGATATCGTATTTTTGCTGGATTCTTCTGCAAGTGAAGGAAGCGAGAACTTCAACAAGCAGTTGGATTTCATGAAGAATTTCACCATGCAGTTTCAGATAGGTAAAGACAACGTCCAGATGGGTTTGGCCGTGTTCTCCACTCTCACGAATAACGAGTTCTGGCTGAACACCTACAACGATAGTGGCTCTCTGGAGAACGCTATCGACAATGTTCAGTATTTACCTGGAAATACGTACACAGATGAGGCCCTTCAATTTATCGTCAACAACAGTTTCACAGCTGAGCACGGTATGCGTGATGGCATCCCCCACATCCTTGTGGTAATGACAGACGGGCAGTCACATGACCCCGCGGCCACAGCAAGTATAGCAAAGCTCGTGCACAATGCAGGTATTAAGACGGTGGCAATAGGCATAGGAACCGACGTGGATAAAAATGAACTCCAGGCTATAGCAACAGACGCTAATCACATGATCTTAGTTCCTGATTTCAATGCCCTGGCTACGATACAGAGTGAGGTTGAGGCATCTGCATGCAAGTGTAAGTTATCCGCTAATTGATACATTTTGTTTTGTTTGTGTTACATATCAAACGGTCCCATATTCGCTGTGTAGTTGTAGAGTTAAGATTACCTTCTACTTATCCCTTGGTATACCATGGTCACTAGGAGTGATCCCATTTGATTTGCTTAATGTATGTTAATATAAAATTATCTTTTGATAATTAACCTCATTTTGTTGTTGCAGCTGAACGGCCTGATCAAGGTAAGTGAACTCTTTGTCCGTAGATAGCAAAACCATTAGCTTAGAGGCTTGCAGTATCAGTTAAACTATTTAATTTTATCCATTTTAATTCTGAACAAAAGCAGAAATAAGAGAAACCAGTGTCAAACATATATAAAAAGAAAAATTAAGTAAATAATTTTATTTTGTCAGAATGTGGTACTCAACCAGCCGACATTGTGTTCATATTGGACGCGTCTAGTAGCGAGGGACACGCCAACTTCAACAAACAACTCCAGTTCATGGGAGATTTCGTAAAGCAGTTTCAGATCGGTCCCAAAAATGTCCAGGTCGGTCTCGTTACATTTTCAACAAGCGCTCACAACGAGTTCTATTTCAACACATACCATGACCAAGCAAGTATCTTGAACAAGCTCCAGAATATTCATTACACGGGCGGGACCACCCACACTGACAAAGGGTTGCAGTACTCGCGACTCTTCCACTTTAATTCAGCATATCATGGTGCGCGTAGAAACGCCGACAAGATTGCTGTTGTTATGACTGACGGACAGTCCAGCAGCAAATCAAGCACAAGTAGACAGGCACAGTACCTGAAGGATATGGGTGTGAAGGTGATCAGCATCGGAATAGGGTCTGGTATTGATTCGAGAGAGTTGACGAGTATCGCCACAGACACTCAACACGCGTTTAGTGTCAACAGCTTCGACGTTCTCAAAAGTATCGAGCTGGAACTAAAGAATGCAGCTTGCGGAGGTAGGAATGATATTTTGTTATATACAATTTAAACACATTTGAAGCGGTTACGACGGCATCCATTTTGGGATACCCGTCACTGATATTGCGGACCTGTTAAACTAGATGTATTGTGCATATCTGGTAGTAAAGTGCTATCATCTTTAAACTAGAAATCTACTTCTTTAATTCTCTCAGAAGAATCTTATGTACATACATACTCTACCTCTAATATGACACTTGTTACTTTCAACCTTTTAGTTCCTACACAAGCGCCGAATGTCGACCAAGGTGAGTATATTCACTTGGTTTGCCTCCTTTTTAAGTGTTTAGAATGTCTTCCGTTAGTGTGTTTTCACTTAATGTTATTGAATTAAAGCTGTTTCAATTCGTGTAATTCTGGCAAATGCTATCTTTGAGAAAAACATTCCGCACTTGATGCCGCTGTAACTACAGTTGCATAACCTGTATGTTAGCATACATGTAAAAACAGACATCGTTACTAAACAATGCTGAGCAGTAAACCATGGCGTATATCTAATACTAGATTCGGACACCGAGACATTAATTAAACGCAATATCATCAATTGATAAACATATGTTCATTACAAAAAATGTTAAATGCTTCGCAAAATGAATTATTTTATACATTTTTCAATGAAAAGTGGAGCATAATTTCATAAAACCTGGAACTTGGAGTTTATTAACCATGTAGCTATTATATTACAAACTATGGGTATAATTTGCAACATTTACAGGGTGATAGAGAACACTTAAAATCACATACTAAATGTATAAAGTTATCAACTATATTTTCTTTTAGAATGTGGACAAAAACTTGCTGATATAATTTTCCTACTTGATTCCTCTGGAAGTGAAACAAGGACTAACTTCAACAAGCAACTTGATTTCGTGAAGAACTTCGCGAGTCAGTTCCAGATCGGTCCCAATAACGTGCAGGTAGGCGTGGCAACATTCTCCACCCACGTCACCGAGCAGATCAAATTGAATGCCTACCATGATCAGCAGGCCTTAATGGCCGGTATCTCCCATGTTTCCTACGATGGAGGTCTGACGTACACAGATGACGCACTCAAGTACGCCCGACAGACTGGGTTTTTACCCAGCCATGGCGGTCGCTCAAACGCAACCCACATCGTGGTCGTTATGACCGATGGTCAGTCGTATAGTTCGGGACTAACCAAGACACAAGCTACGCTTCTGAAGAACATTCCTGGTATGAAGGTTATTTCCATCGGTATCGGCAGCAGCGTCAACCGCGATGAACTTCTAACAATTGCCTCCGACTCGTCACATATGTTTGAGGTTGCTAACTTTAATTCTCTGTCACAAATTGGGTCGGAAATCACCTTTGCTACATGTAATAGTGAGTATTGAATCGTGTAGTTCTTTTTAAAAGTAGAATTTACACGCGATGTGATATTTCTGACTTGCATACATTTATATGAACTTGGATAGCCAAAATCATAGCATTTATATAATGTTTATGTATTGATTACTGAAGAAAACAAACCTGAATTTTCAATTTATTTTAGCTTGTGGTTATGATGACAGAGCCGACATGGTCTTTGCCATTGATGCCTCTGGGAGTGAAGGTTCAACTAATTTCCAAAAGTCGCTTGACTTTATGGCCCAGTTCGTGAACAGTTTTCCTGTTGGCCCTGGACATGTACAGTTCGGTCTTGTTACTTTCGGCACACACGCAGTAAATGAATTTGACTTAAACCAATATAGTGATAAACAGTCGGTCCTCTCAGCAATTCAGAAAGCAAACTACGAGTCTGGAACCACGGCAACCGGCGAAGCCTTGAAGATCATCAGGGAACATAGTCTTCAAACGCCTGCAGGAGCAAGACCGAGCTCCCATCATTTCGTGATCGTACTGACAGATGGCGCTTCAACCAACTCCTCACAAACAGTTGCAGAGGCTGCAAAGTTAAAGCAGAATGGGAATACAACCGTTATTAGTATCGGAATAGGATCTAACGTGGATAAATCTGAGCTAAATACCATTGCAACTGACAGTCGTCATGTTTTCAACGCAATTGACTTTAATGCATTAAGTAACATCAGAAGCGAAGTCCGTAAGGCAACATGTGACGGTACGATTTTATAATTTACCGTAAAAATGTTTTTCTTAATTAGTATTGTTTACATTCCATAACCAAATAATTCAGTATGTATTTTCTTAAATTTATTCTATATTCAAGTATAATGTTTAAACAATATTTTTTTTCTCTTACATTGTAACTATAACATGCATCTCTTTTGGGATTTAACCATTTGATTTTACCTTACCTTTTGATTAAATAGCCTATGCTTTGCGATTTAAAGATAGTTGATATAACTGTTGTTAAACCGATACCGGTAACTGCAAGACGAAACTTCATTGATAACAGTTACTTTAATTAACAGTGTACCAACATTTTACAACTATAATTATTTATTCACTTTTCCCTTCATGTTAATATCACATTATACATTTCTTTTGGAACGTAAGGTGATAAAAGTACATTCGAAGCGGTAATATCAGCATCTATTTTGAGATACCCGTAACTGCATTTACCAGTACGGTCTAAACAACAGTGAAAATCCAAAATTACGTAACCTCTGCTTTCGTTGTTGCCTTTCACTTACTTTTGGCGTAATGTTGCGATGGCAATAGCATTACTATGATCCGCATATACATTGTACGTATATGTCATATTCTGCTTCCGCTGTTGCTTTGAACAACTTTGCTATACAGCTTTGAGTGGTAAACTTACAACAACTCCAGTACCAACAACGACATCCACAACAACATCAACGACGACAACGACACCAACAACAACAACGACATCAACAACATCAACGACGACAACGACACCAACAACGACAACGACATCAACAACGACGACGACGCCTACAACAACCACAACACCAACGACAACCACACCGCTTCCAACAACAACAATGCCAGGTATATAATGCTTACAGTGGCACATGCAGGGTTTGCTCTAAAGGAGAACTTGAGCATCTCAAGGGAATTTTAATGCTATAATTAAACCGTCGTTTTCCCTCCTGTCTTATGTTTTGCATTAACTATGAACACTTTGTAAATGCCATTTTTGTAAATACTGAGAACATTCGAAGAGTAAACAGTTTCATTGCTTTGCTTGCTTATCAATTGGAAGGCTTTATTATTGTTTCACCATGTGTCACCTGCTTGTTTTAGCGACCACCCCTACGCCAACGACAGTAACACGTAAGTACAGGCTTGATGGTGCAGAGCAGTTACTGTATATTTCTCATGAGAAATAGCATGCTGTTAATATATAATCTATTCTTTTTTACACTTTGCAGTACAAGGGACAAGTGAGTATACATAGAAACAAAATATATCTACATCATACTTTTGATAAACATACATAACAAAACTGCGGTTTTTTTAAATGATAAGCTTGAAACAGTTTTGTTGTGGCTACACATGATGAATATGTGAAATCTCAATTATAAAATTATAAGTAGTGATGTCGATGCTAATATATAAAACCATATAAATGGGAAAACGTCGAGCTGCTATGTTTTAAAAATACTCTTTGATTTTTGAAAAAAAGTGAAAACATCTACTCTGCTTTGTTACTGTAGTGTGATTCGCTCGTTTAGACGAGATGCATAACGTCACTTATCGTTTACACACACATAGTAATGGTCACTTGGAATGACGATAGAGGATATAAGTACAGCAAACATTCTAAGTAAAAAATAAAATAGTTCCTTTATTACTTTAATATCAGAGTGCTATTCAAATTTGGACAGGCTAAATATTTTTTCAAACATGTATGATTTTGTGTCAAAAATCGTTATCCTAAATTTAAACAGTAATGGCACTCTTGTTTGAATTAGAAAGTCGGCTAATATATGTCATTTTATAAAACTAAAGATGGTAGCATGTTTGAAGTATGTACCTTTTATATTAAGCTACCTTACCCACTACAATGAAACCTACAACCACTCCAGAACCACCAACCACACCAATGCCTACCACCACCACACCAATGCCCACCACTACGCCGGTACCAACAACTACTGACGGTAAGGTTTCAAATTTTAGAACACATCAAACTCATGTAAACTGGATATCGATAGGGAGGGAATTAAAGTCTTTGCCTTTTCGACAATAAATTAAGGTTGGTTGGGTGGTGCAGAGGATGGCGCTTTCACCAAGACGACTGGGGTTCGATTCGCTGATCGGACGTTAAACGGTATGAGATCACCTGCCCGACTACATGGGGTCTTTCCGGGTACTCCGGTTAACTCGCACATCAAGACCACATGCGCGCTACCATCCGAGAGTGATCAATATAAATTGAAAGAACTTGTTTGCAATCGTTGTAAAATAAAATTAAGTTTTTGAATTTTATTTTAGAAAGAATTATTCAAACGTTTGTTTTCTCAAAAGTACATTTTTTTCGCATGCAAACTTTTTCACGTGACACCTCATGTTCACTTCACCTATGAGCCTGTGTCTGAGCTGATGCCATAAATTCACAATTTAAGCCAGTGGTCATGTTTTGAAAGTTGCATTTTGATGTATGGGAAATGCATGCCTTATTTTTTCGAGATAGATCATACACTTCTCACAGTTATTCAGAAAAAAATGGAAAGTGTCGTTACATCTCGGTAATTTTAGCGATCATTTTTATTTCAGGTGAAATATACGTTACAGACCCCCCGTCAACCACTCTTGGGTGAGAGGATAAAGGTAACGTCCAGTTCATTATTATGTACGGTAACCTTGCTAGGTTTTGTTGCTTTTCCACACATACATACACAAATGTATGAACGCATTTGTTTTCAGTGCTTATCTTCCTACACATTTGCAATAATGGTGCAAACAGTTCTTCCTAAATATCGTAAAGGCCCTATATTTGAGGTTTGATTATCTTAAACATTAACTGATTTTCTATTTTTGTATTATTTGAGGCAAGTACATAATAAACGGATTTCGATTAATATTCAATTTCCTGTTTTTCAGGGGAGGAAAACATGCAAAATCCAGTTTTGTATCCAAATTCACTATGGTGTTTGTAAAACAGTTTTTTCAAATAAAATCAAGAAGCAACTTTGAGTGGTAGTTTCTTTTGCGAAAGCATATTCAAAGTCTGTGATACGGTCCTACAGCCTTACTATCTATATTCTTATGTGAACAGAGGATACTGTTATGGTGGATGTTTTTGTGTGTGGAAATTTTCGCGTTGAGACTCTTTAAGCTGATCTAGGTATGGAAATTGCCGCGTTGAGACTCTTTAAACTGATATCGGTATGGAAATTGCCGCCTTGGCAATAGTGCTGAAATCTATAGGCGTTATATATCTTTAATCTATAAACAAATTTTCGCGTGCTAATTTTACTCGAGGCGGAAAACACGAGTATTTTCACATCACTTTAATTCATACTTTTACCGTAAAAAATTAACTCCAGACCTTTTTTTATTCCAGAAGCGATCTAACCAATTGATCTCTCTCGTCCACAGTCCCGCTACATTTCTCCCTCATTCTCGAAAACATACAAGACTTATACGTGTATCAAAACTCGTGGGTACATTGTTAAACTCATTTTTTTAGGGCACTCCTATATTCGCAAATACTAACAGCAGTTACAGTAATTTAGCACATTGAGTAAGCTCGAAAAGAAATGAAAGAATTTCACAGCTAGAATAAGAACATTTACAACATTTCATTGACCGTAACATGAGACCACACATCCAAAGTCTAACATTTCTTAGTCTAGGAGGACGTTCTATCTGACAGAGCTACCAGTGATCGACTCAGTCTTATATCGCAATCCCTATATGTGGAAGTAGACAGAAACCCGCGTGAAGAAAATACAGCCATTCCTTGACTTTTCTATGTAAATATGTTCTTGACCAACAACAAATGTTACGAAAAATGTTTAGAATTATTTTGGAAAAACTTTATACAGCACACAAAAATACTTACGAGTTAAAATGGAAATGGGGCGGGGTTAACGCTGAAGAGAGAGATGACTGACTGGGGACCTCAATTATCGCCTTTAGGGTATGTTTTTCATCTTATATGTGATCCCTGCTAATATGAAATCATTTTGTACGGGTTTGCTCTTACTGCGATTGTTTAAACTTTGTTTCTATTTTACAACCAATTGATAGCTTGCCTAGCTTTTAAATAAACGAAATTCTCAGTTACGATAATAAAAACCAAATGAGATTCCACATATGCTATTGTGTTCATTAAATACTATTGACATTATTTTGTCAGACAGTCAGAATCAGTTGCTACACAGTGATCTGCTCAATAGTTCTCAGTGAAATAATACAACCAACGTGTCAGTATGTGTTACATTTCTGTTATGAAATTACCCCGAAATTGTATAAATGTGGGATGCAAAGTCATTCTATCTACCTTTCTCACGTTATCATGAAAGAGTTGGAATTTACAAACGTATTTAAAGGTTGTTCTACATCATATTCATCTCCATGGAATTTGAAGTTGGTAAAATGCATTTGTAAATACATCTTTTGCCAGAGTAAGAAAGACAATTTCGATAAGTTTTGTCTTATGTAGGAACACTTTCATTAAAACAATTCATCGTCAGGGATTAGTAAGTGTTATATATATTATTATATAAGATGATATAATCGCAGGTACTTTCGTTTACGCTTTAACTCTTCAAATCTATTTCGTTAATTCCCATTTTGGCGTTCAGCCGATAGGTGAAATTCTTCGATGTACTAATATTTGTGGTTTGATTGATTTCAACAACAGCACATTGAGACAGAGTGGATATTCGTTGTATAAATGGCTCTGTAGTACTGCTGCAGCTGAGATCGGTGTCAAGACGTAGTTGAGCCACTCACAGCACACGTTATGTATTGAATTGTTCGTACCTTTGACGGTAGTTCAACATCCCTCCCAGTCGTATTATTCTGATACCGGACAATACCTAAAAAAAATGGGGTAAACGCAATGAGTGCAGCAGATCCCAACGGAGAACGAACAGAACAAAAAGTTAGTTGCATACAAAACCCAAATGATGTATCAGTTACCAATTTAGATTACAATACATTTACACAGCATCACTATACAAACGATTCATTGGAGCCTCGCAAAGTTTCATGACATCTCTGAGACATTATATGACGAATTGTCCTAAAAACCGCTATAAAAAAATGCTTTTAAATAAGACTTGACAACTATATCACAAATATATATCAGTACAACAATTTTTCAACTTTTAATGAAATCTGTTTCTTTTATGTAGATTAGATATCATAAGTGCTACCTAGCCATTTATATGTATATTAAATTATTCTTTTATCTTAAAAAATACCAGTAAATCTAGTTTACAAAAGAAATGATGTCGAATAACCCAAGCGGATAGTTCCTTTAAGAACCAATATGCACGCTGTTTTCAATACACTACACTTCATACATATCCGTTAGAATACTAAGTTCCTCATGTGGCATGAAGCAATATCTATGACCTTGCAAACATGAGAATCTTCCTTTGCCAAAAAAATCACCATATTGTCCATTCATTTTCGGCGTATATTCTTCTGTTCATTTGATGCATTCCTTATACTGTATATCACCATTTTACGATTAAAACATTTCGATGATTCAAATTGTCGTGGTCTGATTCATGGAACGTAGCAACTTAAGTGAACATTATATTCTATTGGGTGCAGCAATAACTTACTGTTATATTTGGTCGAGTCTATTTAAAACATTGAAATTATGCCAATAAACGGGAAAATTTATCTGATGTGATAGCACTTACATAGTTCATTTATAGTAAAACCAGGTAATACTGAAGTGGAAACAAAAAATAGGGATAACTATGAACCAAGGCGCATAGGAAAGCAGTGAACCCTGATAAAGTAAAAGTAGAGTAATATCACGTGATGCCAAAGGAGAAGCATCTTCTGCTTCATCGACAACACGCGCCAGGTAAATATAGTGAAATCCTATTGATGTCATGTCGTCAAAAACAGAACCGGGGCAGTGAAAACTGAACCCAAGGCACACCTATGGTCATAATAACAAACTTTGAAGTTTATATAGCAAAAGGAATATTACCTAATAAAAGACGTGCAAGTAGGTATACTGCAATCAAGAAAGGGAAAATTTCCTATCAGAAAGGTAGGGTCAACGCCTACGGGGATTTAACATTAGCGTCGGGCCCCGCTTGGAATTTCAAAACATGATAATTCCAAAAAGGTATGGGTATAGGAAGCTTAAATCAGGAACAGTTAGTTTCAGATTTCATTTTATGATAAATTGGACCTAATTGACTTACACCTGTGTGGATGTTAAAGGTGCGGTTAAACAATTCCTCTTAGAGCATTTAGATGACACAATTAATTTAAAAGTATATCATCATCATGTGCAACATATTCCAACTGTTTTTTTGATACCGAATATTACACTATTTCAAGAAAGCATTGTTCTTTTTATTGAAGATTTAAGCAGAAAAGTATGTGAAATTTCATTACTAATGAGAAAATTTCCCTTTTTGAAACGTTAATGTACATACTTCTAAAACGAGTCTTTGTATCACACTTGCTTAAAAGTTGGCTATTAATAATGTCTTTCGACATCAGGAATTTCAAAAAAAATGACAACCGGTAAATTTGTCACATAACACTTTTTATTCAAAAAAAGAAAAACATAGCTTTCTTTCCACTTTCCTTTAACTTGTGTTTCTTCATGACCAAAGGTCCATGGGTCTTGTCATTTGGCAAATAGGTTGTTCATGTGAATGAATTGAAGTTGTGAAAATTATAATGACCTTGACCTTCGTTCAAGGTCACAAAATCAAACGTGCTCAAACAAAACAAAATGTATGGGGGGTCAGACAAGGATATCTTTCCTTGCTTTATTTGTTTAAAGTTAACGATATAAAATAATGTAATACAATGTTCCTTTATATTTTGTTTGATGAAGCGGTAATAGGCAACAAATTTAAACTAAGTCAAAGGTTAACTAATACCTACGCTCCTATATAAACCAGAACTGTAAGCTAAAAGCTAACTAAGGCAAAGCATTGTAAAATAATCCATTGTCTCCCACCAGTAATTAATTAAGTATATAGGTCACGGACATACTTCCTGTACTCCCCCCCAATGCAAAAACATACTTGCATACCAAATCTCGTCAACCCACATGAACCAGATTTGCTGAAATCGTCCTTGTAATTGAGGAAAAGTTGTCAAGACAAAGACTTTTAACAAAGGGCAATAACTTCTTAAAAAGGGTCAAAATGAAAACAAATATTACCCTGATGCACGACATCAGAGAGTAATTACTGTATCAGTAAACGCTCATTGAAATCGGCCCAGTAGTTTATGAGGAAGACAAAGTGTTTTTTCAGCAAAGGGCTATTACTCCTTTTTAAAGGGTCGGAATGAAAACATACCACTTGAATGCACAATGTCAGGGGGCAGTTACCATATCTGTAAACTTCCGTTATAATTGGCCCCATAATTTTGGAGGAGTTGTCTGGACAAGTGTTTTTAACAAAGGGTAATTTCTCCGTGAAAAAAGAGTCTGATTTAAAAAAAAATGAACGAATAACTTCAGGTGGTAGTTATCATATGTGGAAACTTCCGTTGAAATTGGTCCATTACTTTAGAAGGAGTTGTCCGGAAAAACCTGTTCTACGAAGAGACAGACGGACAGACAAGCTGATTCCAGTATAACACCCCCCCCCACCCCCCACCCCCTAACTTCGGGGGGGGGGGGGGGGGGGGGGGAGGGGGATAATAAAGTGTATAATACTTTTACTATTAAGATTAATTTTTTGTTTTATATTATTGCATAGCTTTGTCTATAATACAATATCAACCTTAAGTAGTTCTCCAGAGGAAAGATTATTTTGGCAGAATACATATTCACGAGTTATTACTGCTGAACATAACTTTAAAACAAGCGTAATATAATAAAGTGTGTTGGTATGATACAGAAACAGTATTTGTATCGGTATTTACAATAATAAACATTGATAATCAAATTTCCGTGATTACGTGAAATTAAAGAAGTTGAAAATATAGACTACCATTTGCATGTTGACAATTCGGGTTTTATTTTAAATTTTGTGAAAATGTTGGATGTATTTCTAATTAAATGCATCACTACGCTTATTTCATGTATACCAATATGACATATTTAATATCAAAATAACAGTAATTGTATACGCTATACACTATCGTTATTCATTTTCAAAATAACATTCGCCTGTGACATTTATCTGACAATTTGTTAGGACACCCCCGTCAATCAACCTGGTGTTCTGCAAGGAGGTCCACTACGGTTATATGTAGTAATTATGAATAATCATTTATGCAGTTATTGATCATTTTCTTGGATCTACATATGGCAAAAGAATAAAAGAAATCGAAGTGGGGGCCAAATGTTGACCCCACCTTTGAAATCCATCGGTTTTCATACAGTTTGATAATTTGCCGTCACTGCTATTTATGCTGTGAGTAAAGATACAAAAACTGCAGCTGTTGTAAAAGAGTCTATAATTATCTAAATTTGAAGTTCAGAAGGGCAGATTCAATCCATTTGTTAGTTAATGGCAACACATCATCGATGTATTTAAAAGCAAAACTGATGGACATGGTATTGTCTTTGTTTCCTGTCCTGATATATTCTTCCTGATATGAAAACAAGAGAGATCGACTTGTTACATTAGGTACGCCAACAGTCTGCTTCAAATTCTTGCCGCCAACCTTCAAAAAGGACGAAAATTCTGACAAGAAAAGAAAATAATCTTAGCACGAGCTTGACCTTGAAAGATACATATTGTTAAGAGATGCTGCGTTGATGTGAAACAATATATAAAAACATAGAAATTAAGTGATATGTATATCAAAATGGTATCTTATCAAGGTGAATGGACGTGATAGTCATATATCATATCGACAAAATATTTCATCACGAATGTCAACATTATTATTGCATATTGTCAACACGTTACATAATTTCATAATAACATATCTTATCATCTCAATATATTCTTATATCTTTCTGGGTCCGTTCATGTCAAGATATGACTGAAATGTACATTTGTCGACAGTAAAATGTCAAAGTAATGCAATTAATATAATGGTGACATAACACTATAAAGTGTTACAAGTAGGAGTTTATTTTTCTTAACAAATTTATCGGCTCGTTTGTTCACACTGGACATAAGGATATATATATATTCCGAATATGTATGTGTGGCTTGTGAATGTGGGTCAACCATGTTGAACGACTCCTGTATATAATTGCTTATCTTACTCTGTACAATGCTTTTCAAAACATCGATAGCCCGGCGATATCTATGCATGAACAAGGTGTCCTGTAGGACCAAGTAGAGATTCAAGATGGCGAATCGTTTCCAGTGCGTCACAGCTGTGCTGTTTGGATTTTATATATCCTTGATCGTGGCTCAAGGGACACAAGGTTAGATTGAATGCATACGTTTTATTGCTAAATCACAGTTTGTTTTCAAAATATTACAATGAGACCATACCTAATTTATATGAGAAATGGGAATAATTAACATTGATATACAGCAGCAAACCCGGACTTTTAGACACAAAATAGTCTCAACAATTCCCATTATTCATCAAAGTTATCTCCCATTGACACAATTTATAGTTATAACACGCACTGATAAGAAAATGTTTGTATTCTATAAGTACAGATTTAAAAACAAATTACGGTCATGCAATTTTGATTTTCAAATCTTATGTAATTGTTCAACTTTTTTCTATGCGTCATACCTTAACATACTGCAGAAAATCCACATTATTCCACATAAAACAATTTCCATGAATTATCAAAGTTATCTCTTGTTAATACTGACATCACGTACTGATAAGGAAGGGAATGTTTGCAATTTATCAAACGGATTTTAAAATGATATTGGGGTTATGAAATTCTGTATTCAAATAAGATGTGACATACAGGTTAATCAAATAGTTATGTGATTAATCAAAAAGTTTGTAAACGATTACATGAGATACAGAAGGTACAGAGTTAATAACAAATGTCTTTGTATTTATATTATTGGTTTCATAGCAACTACAAAACCCACGAAAGACCATCGCAAATCACATGACATTTCATCCTTTTTCGAGAGATGCAAATATTGTTCGAATAAACTTCTTGAAAAGGTATACTCACCTTTCTACTCCCTTCTTCTTTACAAAATCCATACACACATCGTGTCACCGACAAACAAATTTCGTACCAGCATTCATTGTTATAAAATATGTAATTTTTCTCTTTTTCTTAGATTCGATTTCTAGAGATAGTGTGATTGTGTTAAAATCAACTGTTCAGTTAAGAGTTATATATATTTCTTTCTCTTTTTCAGGTTTTATGATACGTGAGGGGATAGCCCGAGTTGCATCTGACCCTGACACCAGACTTAAACATTTTGACAGAAAGATGTCTAGTGTGAGGCCAGAGCGCACTACGTTATGAAATTTGTGCGCTCTGGCCCCAAACCAGACACATAGGTCTATTTGTAAAAACGTCTTACTTCTGATGTCAGAGCCAGAGAAAATTCGGGTTCGTGCGAAGAGTAATATGAAATACTCTTTGTTGTTATCACCCCCGACTAATATTCTATTATACACAATGCATGTTGAGTGTGACTTAAATCAGAATAGCACTAAGATTTAGGGTTCATCTTGTTGAATTCCATAGTTTAACAAGACCCGTATAAAGCAATTTCTATAAATTAGGTATAATTTAATGTGAATTGCAATTGCAGCGTTCAGATATTTTTTGTCACATCAGTGTGGTCAACGCTTTGCCTTTTAATTTGCCGGGAAGATAACTTTCTGCTAAGGTATGTCATATTTCAAGCATGTACAAGCAAACACATAGTTCACAATTTTATATATGCAGTATTGCAATATCGATAAGTTTGAACTTTCACATGTTGACAAAGTTGCAGTTTTTCTGCAGCAAAACAGCTTCGAGATCTCAGAAAGGAATCTTGTGATATCCTGAGTGATTGTTCATATGAATATGTTTTAGGGTAAAACGGTAGTTACTCAACACTTGGACGCTAGGGTGCTTACCTGTTTTTAAGAAAAGCACGATAATCTTTCTACTCACATTCCTACCACAGCTCGGTTGCCTAATGGCTGATTACTAAATATAATTATATAAAATTATGATATATCCGGGGATTCACACTGTTCACATACCGTCAAGAAACGCAAATGACTTTTTCAAACATTTCTCAAGCATCTTTTATATGACAGTAAGTAATGTATCACTAAGTGACAGATAACCTTGGTTTTAAAGCAAAATCTTATACGTTTTAAATGGAAATATATACTGTCATGTCAATAAAACTGACTTGTTAAAATGAGCATGATTGATCACTGTTGAATAACAGGTTGTGTACAAAGTAGCTTCCAGACTGTCCTAAATATTTTACATCACCAGCATAAACATTAGTATATGTAATACACTGGTAAAGAAAGCGGGGAACAGTTTCCCAGGGCATTATATATATATATTGCGTCACGTGACATCAGACACCCTCCACACATAAAAGTCGATGCTTTTGATTATACTCATTAGTGTGCCTTGTGGTGTTGTTGTCACTACCGGATCCTCGATGTAAGGACGTGACATTACTTGGATTTGACCTAGATATACATGGCGGTTGTTGTCGATGAAGCAGAAGACGCTTACCTTTCCGGTTTTATTTTCCTTATACTTTTTTCAAGGATTTCCAAGTTAATCTTTCCTTTGTTCATATTTCGCCACAGTTTTGAGTTCGAATGATGGTTTTGTTGAATACTCGGAATCTCTGGTTGGGTTTTAGGTTGCAAGGTATGTTTTTAAATTGTTTGAACTCTCTTTTCGACCAGTATAATGTATAAGTTGTTTGACGTACTATTTTATAAGGGTCGAAGAAAGCAGTAGTGACGTACAAAGATGGTAATTACTTTGTGTGTCTCACTCTGAAGTAAATTACTTATACATCGTTTTTCGTTGCTTTCAGACTGCCGTGGTCAAAAGTCAGACATTATCTTTTTGCTTGATTCTTCAACAAGTGAAGGCCAGCAAAACTTCAAACATCAATTGGATTTTGTGAAGAACTTGACAGCAATTTACGATATTGGTCCAAACAACGTCCAGATTGGTCTTGCTTCTTTTTCATCGCACGTTCACAATCAGTTCTGGTTAAATACTTACCATAACCAGGCCAGCCTCCAAAACGCTATCGGCAATGTTCCGTTCACTTTCGGTAACACGAACACAGGAGAGGGAATCAATTTCGTCACTACACAGGGTTTCACGTCAGCTCATGGTATGCGTAATGATGTCCCGAATATCCTGGTGGTGATGACAGACGGTCAGTCACAAGACGGTACAAATACAGCTTCAATGGCTTCCAAGGCTCACCAAGCAGGAATAGAAGTGGTCGCAATCGGAATAGGCGATGGGGTGAGCACGTCTGAATTACAGGCAATCGCCAGCGATCCTAAACATATTTTGACAGTGGAGAACTTCCTCGCTTTGGCCTCTATTCAGCACAATGTGGCAGCAGCTACATGCAATAGTAAGATTTCAATTCTGTAACATTATCAAATATTTCCCTAGACTGTTCTGAATTTAGTTTACGTACGAATGAAAGGTGATAACAAAATCAGTGTAATATTTTTTATGATGCTCAGTTCGTACAATGTTCTTTTCATTTTACATATTTTCATCTGACTAATTCATGCAGGTGTAGGAATTAAAGTAATTTAATATCATGGTGTTTTATTTCACTAATAATTTTGTTGTTGTTGTTGTTGTTGTTTTGGGAAATTTGTTTACTTTTGCAGTTGCTACACCTGCGCCCCTTACCGGTAAGTTGTGTTACCGTATTGTTTACTTGTAATAGAACGATTATCTGGACTTGAAATAATTACGAATATTTTCTCCCTCCCTTTCGTCATATGTCAAGATTATATTTTCTGTTCACATTGCCGAGTACTCAAATTACCTATGTTTCACAGAAAATGTTCAAAATTAAGTCCAATAGTAATATAAAAAATAGTTAGATTTATTCTATTTGAAATCCTTAATTGAAAGAAATACAAATCATATACTAAAGCGTTACGTTAGCTATTGAGACGAAATTCGTTTAGGGTATTGCTTTTGTTACGTTCCTCATAATATTACAATAAATCATTACTATCCCGTCAAATGTTTCCGGACATTTTCTCAAGAAGAATTGACCACATAGAAATGAAATTTCAAAGAGTATTGCCGGAAATGTGTAGATGAGCACTGCGCATGATTTACCATTGTCATTGCCATTGTTTCCCTCTATCCTTAAAAAAAATCAGCCGACGCTTATGCAATATTTTAATATTAATTACAATTTCGAATGTACATCTATACATTTTAATTCCTTATCGGAGTTCAAATCTGGCCATGGCTGCCAGGGCTATTGGTTAAAATCAAAATATTGTCCATGTTTCTGAAATTTGGCATGAATGTGAATTATGGCACTGCAGACCCAACACCTAAATCCGATTTCAAATTCAACGAGTGGTTATCCTGGTGTTGATGTTAGATCCATAGAAATCTCTCCCAAATTTGGTATGGTTCACGGTTGCAGGAGTAATAGTTTCATATATTGTTATCGATTCTGGTTGATATGAAGAGCACAGGAGCTAGGAAATCAGACCATTCATATTGTGCATTACAAATACGTTTAGAACATGAGACGCAATTACCTTTTCTCCTTTTATGTTAGCTCTAGGCTGTAAAACCTCACAGGCAGACGTCGTCTTCATCCTGGATTCATCCGGAAGCGAAGGACAAAATAACTTTCAAAAGGAGCTCCAGTTTGTTAGTAATTTTGTGAATAACGTGCAAATTGGTCCACAGAACATCCAGGTTGGTCTTGTTACATTTTCCGACATAGTAAAGAACGAATTTTATTTGAATTCTTTCAATAACAAACTTGATATAATGACCAAGCTACAGAATGTTTCCTATCGAGGCAGCACAACATACACAGAACTAGGCTTGCAGTATGCTAGACAATTCCAGTTCACCTCCAGGCATGGCGCGCGGCCTAATGCTACGAAGATTGCTGTCGTACTGACGGACGGACAATCGCATAGCCGTCCAGCGACTCTAAGTGAAGCATCGAGACTTAAGCAAATCGGGGTAAAGATCATCAGTGTTGGTATTGGTACGCAAGTAAGCCAAGAGGAGATTAACGGCATAGCATCAGACAGTAACCATGCATTCACCGTAGCAACCTTCGATGCCCTACATACAATACAGTCTGAACTGGAAAACACCGCTTGTGGGGGTAGGTATCAGTTATGCATTAATAGTAGGGTATTTGAATCAACATAATTCTTAAGTGGAAAGATGCAAAAACCAAAGCATCTAAATATCAAAGACTTGTGTATTAATAGATATGACCAACTCATCTCAATAAAGGCCACGCACTAATTTATATTCAGCCATAAGTAATCTGATTACGTGCTGATTGTTCAGAAGCAGGTACCTTATGATATTGCAATTAAAGTTCGTTAATGTATGGCTAAATATAAATAAGTGCGTGGACTTTATTGAGATGAGTTGGTCATATCTATTTTAGGGTAAGTTACTGCATTAGTAAAATTGATAATTACCCAGTACGCGTATGGTTTAAGTGTCAGAGTAATTTCACTTCGGAATATTGTTGAACCCAAAACACATTACATATTAGAACTTTGTATACTGTTGCAGGTACCATTCCTCCTGTCACTACAAGTAAGTCACATTGCTGTTAATTGGGTTTCCGATCCAAAAATCGCAGCCACAATGCCATTCGTTTCAAACCTTTATTATTGGTTAACCTGTTTCTTGTTACATCTCGAGTCAAACCTTGTCACGATCTGTCAGACGAAACGTAACGATTGAAATACTTTTAGGTCTTATTTACTGCACACGTTCTTACTGTTGTATAATAAATAGTGAACTTACGTTAAAGATCAATTTTTATCTTAGATATATTCATCTATATCTTTCTATTGATAATTAATTAAGATAAGGTATAACATAATGTCCTCAAAATACAAAATCTTTCAAGAGTGGATGACTGTTGCACTGTGTACGGAAATACGCAGACGATTATAAAAGTGGTATAAGTAGACATTATACCATCGTATAGAATTTAAGCGTAATATTATCTTCATTTCAAAGGATTGATGTTTAATTCTTAGAACCAAATCTTACTTATCAATTCATTTGTTTATTGACTCTATCTAAAACTGGTTTACAGCTTGTGGTTCCAAGCCTGCGGATATCGTTTTCATTTTGGATTCGTCTGGAAGTGAGGGTGGCGACAACTTCAACAAACAACTGCAATTTATGTCTAACTTCGTCAAACACTTCAGCATAGGACCACATGATGTCCAGTTCGGCCTGGTAACATTTTCTATACAAGCAAGAAACGAGTTCTATCTGAATACATACAACAGCGTACAAGACATTTCAAACAAGTTAACAAACATTGCCTATATCGGTAGTACCACACACACAGAGTTGGGTTTACAATATGCAAGGCAGTTCCAGTTTTCATCCAGTCACGGAGCTCGGCAAAATGCGCAAAAAATTGCAATAATTTTAACAGATGGACAATCACAAAGCAGTACTGACACGATTCACCAGGCTGACTTGTTAAAGCAAATGGGTGTTAAGATTATCAGTATTGGAATAGGGTCTTACATCTCCCAAACGGAACTTTTGTCTATGGCAGCAGATCAACAGCACGTGCTCACTGTCGGCAGTTTTGACGCTCTACATACTATTCAGTCCGAATTAAAGGAGTCTTCGTGTGGTGGAGGGGCAGGAGGTAAGTATGTACTTAAGTTGTCTCCGTTTAAACTTTGTAGGAACAAAATGTGTTTTTGTATTTCTTTGTAATTTTATTAGACGGTGTTGCTTCATAGTATCTCCCCAAATGTTTGGGAAAAGAATAGGGTTCCTGTATGCCATTGCATATACGTCTGCAGGCATAGACTGTGGAAACTGGGGCTTATTTGGTGATTTCTGCTTGCCAACATTTGGGATAGGTATACTCTTTTCTTTCTGCCAACTTTTTCTTTTCGATTGTGTCTCCCAAAACACCCATCTTCCTATCATTTTGTTTGCTTAATCACATAGAACTAATAGTATACCCCCTTTTCGTGAAGGTATAGCAGATAAATCCTAAATATAACTATATCCATAAATAACTCTATTAGTTATATTCTTTAAGCCGAGAGTTGGACACAGCTAGATGTTCACTTGTTTTACTCCCGTAAAAAAAATGTTTCAAAATAACGTTTGAGTCTGTGTAATCTTTTATTATCATTATTATCTGAACATATTCCAGTGACACAAATTTGTTTTCTTTAAATTTCTACTGTGATATGATGTCATGCCATTATAACGTAAACCTGCACGAGACTACCTTCCCCTTCAGGGTAACAAGCTTCTTCTTACCAGCTGGAATGGTAGAAAAGACCTCTAAAGGAACAGAAAAACATGTATCGATGCTTAAGATATAGGGTTTTTAATGCCATTTACTACTATGCTGATGATAACATTTATGACTGTGAAATATTTGAATATTGTGTTCTGTACTATTAAGGAACAACACCAGCCTCAACAGGTACAAATTCCGGTAAGACAATTCTTCTTATTCTGTTAATTTTTCTGTAGTTTTTCATTTTAGTGATATTGCTGTAACATTATTACTACATGACTTTGATTACCGTAATTTCTTGCGTATTGCCCGTACACCTCAAAACATCACCATTTTAGGTACATGCATCTCTCACTTATACTTATCTGAATATTTATCAACGTTAATAATCGATGCTTCCAATTTATATATACTTGATAGATGTTTTATTCTTATACGAAAACGACCAATAGAGCCATTTATTATTCTGATGCTAACAGCTATTTCGACACCTAGAACTTCATTAAGTATTCCACAGATATCCCACAGTATCGGTAATATGACAAAACCTTACAAGCGTACGTTCGATGATAAAATGTGGGCATTTCTATAATTATGTTATGTTTTTGTTTATAATTGAAGTTGTACACTATTTTGGAATTGAAAGATACCGCATAACATGCACATTTTAAAGATGTTTGGAAACATTTCGTCTTATTGCCCTCTGCATCAGATAGCCCTGAATAGGCATTTTTTAAGTAAACAACATATAGCCCGCAGGCAAGAAGCAAGAAACTACGATGACCTCGCCGCATAAAATTGTCTTAAAAATGTCTGACATCTGGGTTTATAATATTAATGCATCTGCATTATGCAGTAAAACATTGTGCTGTTGTCTAAATAGTTTAATTTATTATCACATTTACATACTATATTAGATATGGTATTAAGTTGCATAAGATAGACCTCTATTAAGGTAAACCAGAGATGTTTGTATTTATGCAATGAAAATATGTTGGAGCTGGCTGGTTTATCTAGAAAATATATATTAATATTAATGTATAGAAATGTTTCAGCTTGTTTGGCAGATGTAGTGTTTGCTATAGATGCGTCCGGAGTTGAGGGCCAATCCAACTTCCAGAAGTCACTCGCTTTCATGTCTGAAGTTGTTAATGAGTTCCCAGGTGTTCCTTATAATGTCAAATTCGGTCTGGTCACTTTTGGGTCTCACGCTAGTACCAATTTTTACCTGTCGCAGTACAATAGTAAAACATCGTTGATCAGAGCCATACAGAGCACGTCATACATTGGAGGGACACAGAACACATGGATTGGCCTGTACGTTGTGCGTCACACCACTCTCACCACTGCTAAAGGCGCGAGACCTGGAGTTAAACCCTACGTTATTCTTATAACAAACGGGAAATCCTCTAGTCATCCCAGCTTTCTACGGGAGACAACGAGTCTACGTCAGGCTACCAACATGACGGGTATAGCTATTGGGATAGGAAATGGAGTAAATATGGATGAAATTAATTCTTTCGCAAACGATGGACATCACGCATTCCACGTCAGTAATGCTGATGGTTTGTTGACCCTCAAACACACCATCCATGATTCCATATGTGGAGGTACGTATACTTAAACATTCAAAGATGATTCTAAACACGTTCATTCAAAGATGATTCTAAACACGTTTTAACTGTCTGTTCTACAATGAATACACTTGTAAGAAACTCTTTTCAATTAAAGGTATTTTATTATCTTTATTGATTATTAAAGTCATTTACCATATGAATCCATATTAATATTTCTTAAATCAAAATAAGTACTTGCATAACAAATAATTATGTTTATCTGTATAGCTATTGCAGTTAAAGATTGTTTTATAGGGATATCATCAGCAGTAACAACCTCATTACCAACCTTCACTACGACACCCGGGGGTAAGTAGTACGGCCGGTGGTATAAAAGCTACTGTACAACAATACTGTGCGTCTTAACGCTACTGTACACAAGACTGTGCGTCTCTATGTTGATGTACAGCTTTCTGTACATCTTCACATTGATGTACACATGTGAACATTTTCTTTCGCTCCAACCAACATTTTATGTAAAATTTGTTAGTGTCTACCAATGTACCTATATACAGTCCGTTGTTAAAATACTGTGACCAGGTAAAGTATTATGCTGCCGAGTCAAGGTTTTGACATTTCAAATAGATAGCACTTTGATAAGACCTTTCAGAGGGAAATCTTATGTTTACACTTGGAAGTTATCTCAAAACTCCCTTGAGTACCCTCAAATGCTAGGGTGAATTCATGTAGCATATTTTGATGATGTAAATGACACTACAACATACTTTCATCAATTGTTCAGGTCAAGTTTACCTCTAGAACCTTACTATTCAGCCCCGAAAAAAATGGGTGTCGTTATGAGGCGGCCTGATAACGGTGAATGTTTTTCAAAGAACAATATATGTGTTAACAAACAATGGCTGCATGGTGAGATATAGTTATAACTGGTTTAATACGGCATGATTTGACCAATGGAACAACCTCTCCCATAGAGGTCCAGGGGGAAAATTAATTCACCAAATGCATTACGCTACATGACATGCAATATTCGTTTAATGCATTTTATTTTGTAGCCGTATTTCTACAAATTTGTTCATCAGTGTACAGTCAAACATTAATTCAGAGACCACCTATAGGTCATAACAATGATCTGTTAGCATAGATGATCTCTAAATACAGGTTCAATTAACGATGAAATCACTAAAAAGAGGAACATAGAAAGTGTTGCCTTAACACAAGTGATCTCTTTATACATAATCAATTCACAAAGAAAAGAAGATGGAGAACATTAAAAGTAATATTTTAACAAATCTGGTCTCTTAATAGAGGTGTTCGCATGAACAGTGTTAACTTCATATTATTTGAACTTGCTGTCTAAACCTTTTAATTATCATTTCTATCCAGTGCTCCTAGTTAATTGTGACAACGGGGCATTACAACTTTATAAAATAAGCAAATATATCATTACTTCTCATGTATGTGTTATTTGGTATGTGTATATCTCGATCATTCTAACATTTCTCTTTTTTTTCACAGATTCTTTCCAGGTCTTTCCCGATTCTTCAAACTGAACGAATATACGATACATTTGAACCCAAAGTACAGAAGAATGACAAAATAAAGACAGATTTGTTCTGATCCGTTTTATTGTAATATTGTAAACAAATAAACAGCAGAAGAGAACGCATTTGAGTTTAATTATTGACTCAAAGAAATTAGTGTTTTAAATTAATGAAACAAGTCATTAAGAACGAGATTTTTTTTTTCGATAAATTTATATATAAACTGTAAAATCAGTTGATATAATTGACCAGTTAGGTGTTCTAAAATGTATAGATATGAACATATTATTGTTTATTTGACACCTGTTTTTCGTAAGAAGCAGTCTAGTTGGTGATAGTAAAGTTTGTCATTCCCTCGTCATATGTCTGACTGTGAGGATGTTTACTGCCGCATTCCCCATTACAGATTGCTGCAAACAATAATAAATTTCAGTTAGTACGATATAAACTTGTTCCATAAAATAGGATGCGTATATACTGACAACATTTTTCAACAATGTGCGCGTGTAGGCTGTCTTTGTAGTAAGGATAAATTCAGTGTGACAACCATTTATTCTTTGAAAGTTTTGACTATCCATTTATGCATTCATGTCTTAGACGAGGATTTGTCATACAATAGCTGCTTACCTATCTTGACGTCATAGTCCCCAGGAATCCATTGTTCACATGGTCCCTGAGAGGGGTCACAGTTCGGGTCTGGTTGAGCTTTCAGGGAGAAGCTGGAGGTGTAGTTTCCAGCCTGAGCAAGTTCATGGATGAATCCGCTTTCTACATAAGAGACAGAATCTTTATATAGCAACGGAAAACTTTCATATTTTCATAAATTATAATAATGATTAAAGTTGACGTCATTCAAAATATATTAACAAAAGGCAAGAGAAAAAATTGTAAGTCCTCTATTTACAATGATCATGTTTAAGTTATGATAAGTAATTGTTATATTTTGACATAAATATGGTGATTTATTAATGCTGACACAATGACTACCTACCATTTAAAACAAATATAAATACAATAAGCGAGTTACCTTCATAATTAAATATTCTTTTCCCTTTATGATAACCCGCACACCTACTCATTTTATCATTCTCTGTTCAGTTCATACATAATGCACAATGTCTTGTGAAAGAAAAGAATTCAGGAAAGTTATCACAATCCAGTTTCCCCTTGTTAAAGAAGTTTCGCAGTAACAGCTTACCGACAGGAATACCATCTACAGTCATGACTTCCAGCACGATCTCACCAGTACCGGTTCCGTTCATAGACGTGTACCCAAAATCAATCCGGAATGTGCCTGAGAAAGAAAGTTAAGTAAAAATAAAATATACTAAAATATTAACACCCAATGAAACTGAACTCAAAGTCTATGACAAACAACAACAGACGACAAAATAAATGACATAGCAAGATATATCTTCATAAAAATGAGCATATAAAAGACAGTTAGTATTACTGGAACAAGAACAATTACATGAAATGGTATGCTGATAAAGAAGAATAAAACAAAAAATAAACCAAAGGTCCGTTGTGTCTAAAATCACAACGGAGGTCATGACCAGTATATACCTGTTCGAGTCTAGTTGAAATATTTTGTAAGGCAACATTTCTTCTTATAAACATATATAATTAATTTACCAGCTGTTTTCATTTGGGGGAAACAGAATGTATGACACAGACTTTTAATACATTGAGAGAAAATATATTAATAAAAAAACATGAAATTAATTCCCATTAACTTAACATTCATTATTATATTGAATAGGTAACCGTAATAACAACTGGATTTTAAACCGTTCGATTTTTATTTGTTTGACTTTTTTTGATTTTTTTAAAATTCTCTGATTCAGTGTTTCAATCTCTCAGCTTATTCTCCTTTTTAATAAACAAAATAATAGTGAAAAAGTTGACAATATGATAAGCAGCACTGATGTGATACTGTAAAACAAACCCACCTTGGGGTCCTGAGCTGGGCGAAACTGAGAAGGTTGTGATTTTAGCGTCCCCATTGTCGTTGATTGCACAAGTTTTCAGTAACTCACAGAAATAAATGGGATCGAGGTCGGCTCTTCATGGAACATAGAAAGGAAAACATTATTTGGTATAGTAAACAACACATAGAATACTGCATATTTCTATCATGTACTCTATCAGGATTTCAGTACCAAACTGATCATTATACACGTCAATTGTTTTGAAGTTACATAAAAAGGGGTAAATCAAACTCCTCCTGGCACTTTCAAAATCAAAGCGGTAGTAGTGTTTTGTTTTCTTTATTAACAACTAGTTTTATTTGACGTTATCGATTAGAACAAAATACTTCTATTAGTTTAACAAAGAGTGACTAAAACAGTATGTTCCTTAATCTTTTGAATAACTGGAGACAAAGCAAAATTAAATTGTAATGAGGTGTTGATTTTTCAGGTAAACAGATAATTTCATTATATCCGAGAATTGCTAAAAAATGTATTGTATATTTACTTACTTTTGTAGAAGTTTGACGAATTCCTCGATACCAACAACGTCACAGAGGATATTGCATACAGCTCCGAGAGCCTGACTTCCGGTTTTGGTAGCTAGAGCGCTACAAAGTGTTCCACAGGTCCCCACTACCCCAGAGTCTGTAAACAAGCAAGTAACCTCCTGGTAATGCTTACATATTGAACAACACATAAACTATTTCTTTAAAAATAAAGACAGGCGTGTCGTGTGTATTTCATAACTGGTTTAAAACGACATATAATTAAAGAAAAGTTTATGAATGTCTTAAAAAAGAGTAAATGAACGTTTCTATGAATTGCGTCTGTATTTATAAAATTGAACATTTATGGCTATCCTAGAAACAAAATTAGAACGAAAGTTGAACTTCCAAACCATTAATGATGAGGATTGCTCATGAAAAGAGTATTTATGATAACGGGACCCTAAAAGTTTCACTTCATTTCATTTAATATAATAAGAGTAATATGAAACACAAATCACATGTGGATATTGAATCAATCCTAACGAACAACCAAAGTATTGATCTCAAACAATTATATAACAGCAACTACGGGATACCTACTGAGAATGATGTTTAGAAGGACGTCAATAGCCTGGTCTGTGAACTGGATACAGGTCGGACATAGGTCCACACCCAAATTGCCTCTATCGGGTACTTGGACCAGCTGGGTGATGTAATGCTGTTTTTGGTTCACAGATCCCACGAAGGGCAGAGCGAATGTCTGTGACAACAGGGCCACTACGGCCAACAAGGCAAACGACTGCTGCAACACATATTGGTATACAGAATAAACGTTAATGCAATTATTTCAGCGTGACAAATCATCACTGCAATATAAATAAAGATGCGTTTCTTAAATGTATCAAGGTTCCTAAGGATGTTTATAGTAGGGAAAAATACGTCGTCACGTTGCAAAATAAATGTAGCAATGATATTCAGTTAGCCAAACGGTCACACATTTCAATATAGACTTCTAAAAGGAGAAGTCATGTAAATGTTATCAAGAACTGTATTATAGCTATAATCACTTCTGTAAAATATTTGTTTAAATCCTTTTCTAAAGAAATATTCAATACAATTTATATGGTGTAATGGATTTTACAGAACTATAGTTGTTTGAAATTTAAATGTTTGCAAATAGAAATAATAATAATTAGAACAAGAGGCTGCATGGGTCTAAATCGGAACCTTTATATTGCAAAATCTCCACTTTACCAATAAAACCATATGGGCAATTATACCAGAACAGCATCATAATGATTGTCCAATAAATGGGTCATGAAGCATTTGAAAAACTTGACAGGGGAAGTTACTCGTTATCTAAAAAAAAAATCTGTGTCTGATATATTCAGTAAGATATAGACAGAAGGCAGGTAACACTTTATACATGCAATAGACAGATAGTAATGATAGAGAGAAGGCGGGTTACAATAGATACATGTAATAGACAGGTAAGAATGATAGACAGAAGGCGGGTTACAATAGATACTTGTAATAGACAGGTAATAATGATAGACAGAAGGCGGGTTACAATAGATACATGTAATAGACAGGTAACAATGATAGACAGAAGGCAGGTAACAATAGATACATGTAATAGACAGGTAATAATGACAGACAGAAGGCGGGTTACAATAGATACATGTAATAGACAGGTAGTAATGATAGACAAAAGGCAGGTTACAATATATACATGTAAAAGATTAGCAGTAATGATAGACAGAAGGATAGTAACAATATATACATGTAATAGACAGGTAATAATGATAAACAGAAGGATAGTAACAATAGATACATGTAATAGACAGGTAGTAATGATAGACAGAAGGCGGGGTACAATAGATACATGTAATAGACAGGTCGTAATGATAGACAGAAGGTTAGTAACAATAGATACATATAATAGACAGGAAATAATGATAAACAGAAGGATAGTAACCATAGATACATGTAATAGACACGTAATAATGATAGACAGAATGCAGGTTACAATAAATACATGGAATAGACAGGTAGTAATGATAGTCAGAAGGATAGTAACAATAGATACATGTAATAGACACGTAATAATGATAGACAGAAGGCGGGGTACAATAGATACATGTAATAGACAGGCAATAATGATAGACAGAAGGCAGGTAACAATAGATACATGTAATAGACACGTAATAATGATAGACAGAATGCAGGTTACAATAAATACATGTAATAGACAGTTAATAATGATAAACAGAAGGATAGTAACAATAGATTCATATAATAGACAGGTAGTAATGGTAGACAAAAGACGGGTAACAATTTATACATGTAATAGACAGGTAACAATGATAGACAGAAGGCAGGTAACAATAGATACATGTAATAGACAGGTAACAATGATAGACAGAAGGCAGGTTACAATAAATACATGTACTAGACAGGTAGTAATGGTAGACAAAAGACGGGTAACAATTTATACATGTAATAGACAGGTAGAAATGATAGACAGAAGGATAGTAACAATATATACATATAATAGACAGGTAGTAATGATAGACAGAAGACGGGTAACAATATATACATGTAATAGACAGGTAGTAATGATAGACAGAAGGATAGTAACAATATATACATGAGTAGACAGGTCGTAATGATAGACAGAAGGATAGTAACAATAGATACATATAATAGACAGGTAGTAATGATAGACAGAAGGCGGGTAACAATATATACATATAATAGACAGGTAGTAATGGTAGACAGAAGGCGGGTAACAATTTATACATGTAATAGACAGGTAGTTATGAAAGACAGAAGGCGGATAACAATTGATACATGAAATAGATAGGTAATAATGATAGACAGATGATTGCAGATGACCACCGGATTTTACAGTAACACGAAATGTTTTCCTAGAGAAATCTTTCAAACGTTAGAAATTAAAACAATGATCAATTTCACGATGCGTTCATGCTGAACCAGTACTTATAATAGAGAAAAGATTAGGATAGCACCCAAGTATACCTTATACCTTTAATATATTACAATAACTAAAAAATCATGGATTTTAACAGGTGCAGGAAATAAAGCATTGTTGCTTATTACATGAACAAGCAATGTTCAGTTTTTAGGTTACAGCACAATATCAAAGCATATAACCTCATAAATAATTTTGCACCCTATTTTTTAGTCATTAATAAATAAATAACATCTAATTTTACATCTGCTTTTATATGAACATTGAAGATACCGCCAAAATATTTTATTGATTTACAGTATTTACATAAAAAAAAATCTGCATATATTTCAATAGAAAAAAAACTGCTTAAGTAAACTTGCAAGTTCGGGGTAAAAAAGGTCTTCTTTACCCAATTTCATTTTATTTGTAAAGGCTACTAATATGAGGCCTCTGCAGAATTGGCGTTTCTGTCTGTTCTGCATTAGAGCACATTATAGACAAAAAATGTATCTGTTGACCCAAAAGACTTTAAAACTTTAATCTTCTTCTATCATTTGAACGGTATCACTAAGAAACATTTTCATATACCCTCAGCTGTTACGATCACGTTAAACCCGCCATAAGCAAAGCAAGTTAAGTTTCGTATAAATTCTAAATTGGATGTTACATGAGTAGACTTCAGCATTGTGAACGACTTAAGCTGTGTGGACTATCACTGGCCGGTAGTACTGTTGGTGACAACTAGGCGATACTATCTATTTTCTGCTGATACTCGACGAGTTTGAAATGTCAAGGGCAACGTCCTGTCTGTGGTCGACATGCTATTTCGGCACACCTTATCTCGTGCCATCGTCTCTAGCTACTGAGGGACTTCCCTGACTGATTTGAAAATAGGACAGCTTCACCTACATTCAGTTGTTATTGGCAACCTACCCTATCTTCACCAAGGTACCATATGTCGTACCATATATTGAAAATACTCAGAGTAGTAGACACATATATATGAGCATTTTGTTTAAAAGAGAGAGAAATAGAGTGCTAGTTAAGATATTGGAATTTATCACTCTAATAACCCAGTGATTGGTTATTTTTCTCACATTTTCCTACGGTAAAAATGTGTAATATAATAAGGTATATTTACGGTGACCACAACACACCGATCCATCATCAAGAGCGTATCAATGTAGGAAAAAAATGATTTAGCTTTCCTTGTTACAATCCTCTAAGTAAAATGCAATAGTGACGTTTTTTCAGAATGCTAGCGCTTGTGAACTGTCTTTCCCTAGAAAGGTAAGGCCAGATTAACTGTGTCCCTAGCCAAAATGGGAATGCACCTAGTGAAATAGATTAAGCAAATGCCTTTATATGAAAACATGATAACTTAAAATATCTAATATCTTTAAATCCCTTTTAACAGATTTTTTGGTAAAATATTTTGCTGAACTCCTTTTTACATTAGTGGAGTCAAAAGCAAAAACACACACAAAAATACTGAAGTTTCATAAATGTTCTTTAACCTTAAAGAAAATATTTCACTTATTTTCTTTAATCTAAAAGCATTACTGGAGTTAAAGAAATTTCCTTGGACTGTTTTTTCCCCCGAATTTCCGGCAATGCTTTCCAATGGAAAAAAACTAATGTCAATGTAATTTCTTAAAGTTAAACAATGCCGGTGAAAGTTGGTCTCGATCGATTAAGATAATTTGTACAAAAAGATCTACACATATAAAAAGAAGTTTGCTTGATAAAACATATTGTCATGATCGCAATTCAAAAATCGTATATATACATATATTTACCTTCATGTTGCTCCGTCTTCAGCCAAAGTGTTTGTGTGTTCAACAAAGTGAGGGTAGGTTATACCCGGACGGATTAACTGATATGAGGATTGTTTGAGATTAGGGAGGGAAGATAAAGGTTGCTAAGTAACCAAAGCATCGTATTCTTCATACACGTTTACAATGTGTATCCTGATATGACCACTTGTCCGATATTTGGAGTAGAGGAGACCGCACAGTGTTAAAGGGACATAATCGGTTATGCTTTACATGTTTAGCATCTGAGAAGTGAAATTTTGAAAGTTTATAGATATTGCTCACGTCTGACTTTAGTATACTTAGACGAAACACGTTACATAAAATAGAACGATATTAACATCGGTAATAACAGTGATTATCCTCATGTGAATCTGATAGTTTTTTGTGATCAAAATGGTAAGTGTACGCTAACCAGAGCTGGGCACTACGTCCCTGGTTTCACGAAATTATAATCTTTATGTGAATAGCATTATATTTTAACATTCCCCTCATCTGTTTCATATTTCGTTTTCTTCAATTGATTCACGGTTTTAAATCCATAAGTGAATAATAAAAAACACTAAAAAAACATTTTAATATTTCATTTGACACTCAAGAAATTTTAGACCTTAACGAAAACATAATTTAAGAAATAAATAACATAATTATAGTTAAATACTAGTTTGATGCCATGGCCAAGCCTTCGATATCAAGTAACATAGTGTTGTTTGAATGGGACAACCTTGCATAAGAACAACGAATGATTCATTCCTGTCTGTTGTTTCGCTGATGTGAAGATAAAAAAATTGATAAAACATTTATGATTACGAAACCGAAAAAGCGTACGAATTTATAAAAACATGTATTATCCTTCCATAAGCCATAATGAGTTATAACCAAAGAGTGGAGTGGCCACCGGATCATGTTTGGTTTGTTTTTTTATTGTTTAACAGCTAATGTCATTTAAGGACGTGCCTCAATGTTTGTTGTGTGAGCATGCATGTGTGTATGCATGTCGGAGCCAGGGTATATCGGTGTATTTGCCTTTTTGTGATAGCGCGGATCTAATGCTGAACTTGTAGCAGGGAATAACAACTACCATTTTGGTAGGTCCCGGCCTGGGAATAGAACACCTGGGCGAACGCTCAACATTAAAGTCGAAAGGTGTTGCCAAGCAAAGTGCTAAGAACTAAAAGGTAGTTAGAAGTAGAGAGAAAAATAAAGATCACAAATATTGCAATGGATGCAGCAAATTTATTCTGGTCGCTTCCGTGTCCCCACATAGAGGACACAAAAGAGTGTTCACCCATTAGTCGTTTCTTACGATACATGCAATGGCTAACAGCAGGTGTATTCATTTCTCGAACCCCGACCTGCAGGGGTGCACCAGATCATGTGAACTTGCGACGTTATCAAAGAATTGGGTATTAAGGCTAAATTTGAACATTCTCCAGTTTATCAGTCCTATAAAGAAAAAAGACTTTGGCATGATTTCTTTCCAATATGTTGCTTCTACACGTCGAACCTGGAGCAATAGATAACGTTTCCAGTTCACTGAGGTAGCAAATGAGATAAAGAAATTGTTCCAGAATTTTGAAAATATGTAAAAGACAATGCATAAGGAAAATATCCATTTCGAATAAAAAAAAAAACGATTTCAATCTGTATATTCTTGTAGTGATGTATTACAATCTAAACTTCCAGAAAAGAATAACAAAAATGGTAGGGGGAAGCCCTGTGGAACTGTGGAAGCCCTGTGGAACTGATTGCCCTCGGCCTAGCGGCCTCGGGCAAGCAGTTCCCCAGGGCTTCCCCCTACCTCGGGATGATAGTTTTGACTGTTTCCCAAATAGCCATGAATCAATTGTATACCATGATTATGTCTAGCTTAAAGCATGGCGCGAACGCTCCACTGATGACGGTCGTTATTGATTCCAAACAGGTAAAATATGAATACAGTACTGGGAATAACTTATTGACACAATAAAGGCGATGAAACTTGTAAGTCACATCTGGATAATTCTGACAGAGCAGGGTTCAGTCAACACCAGCGGGGAACATATCCTTAACCAGTAGTTGTACGCACCTTGTGTTACTGACTACAGTAAAACTGATACAAAATGGTTACGTCATTGTTATATTAACTGCAAACTAGAAGGATATCATCAGCGCAACTGAACGTTTACAAAGGTAAGATGTACAATTTAAACAAAATTAATTCTATCTCCCTTATATAGTAAAACAACATTGTATAAAACAGGATGTGACAGTACGACTCATCGCCTACAGAACGGTATGTCTTTCGATTGTGACAGTACGACTTATGTACACCTCCTACAGAACGGTATGTATGGAGAATGTGACAGTGCGACACAGACCATGTACACCTCCTACAGAACGGTGTGTCTGGAGAATCTGACAGTACGACACAGACCATGTACACCTCCTACAGAACGGTGGGTTTTAAGGATGTGACACCTCCTACAGAACGGTATGTTTGGAGGATGTGAAAGCGCCTACAGAACGTTATGTTTGGAGGAAGTGACAGCGCCTACCGAACGGTATATTTGGAGGAAGTGACAGCGCCTACAGAACGGTATGTTTGGAGGAAGTAACAGCGCCTACCGACCGGTATGTTTGGAGGAAGTGACAGCGCCTACCGAACGGTATGTTTGGAGGAAGTGACAGCGCCTACAGAACGGTATGTTTGGAGGAAGTGACAGCGCCTACAGAAAGGTATGTTTGGAGTTAGTGACAGCGCCTACAGAAAGGTATGTTTGGAGGAAGTGAAAGCGCATACAGAACGGTATGTTTGGAGGAAGTGACAGCGCCTACCGAACGGTATGTTTGGAGGAAGTGACAGCGCCTACCGAACGATATGCTTGGAGGAAGTGACAGCGCCTACAGAAAGGTATGTTTGGAGGATGTGAAAGCGCCTACAGAACGGTATGTTTGGAGGAAGTGGCAGCGCCTACCGAACGGTATTTTTGGAGGAAGTGACAGCGCCTACAGAACGTTATGTTTGGAGGAAGTGACAGCCCCTACCGAACGGTATATTTGGAGGAAGTGACAGCGCCTACAGATCGGTATGTTTGGAGGAAGTGACAGCGCCTACCGACCGGTATGTTTGGAGGAAGTGACAGCGCCTACAGAACGGTATGTTTGGAGGAAGTGACAGCGCCTACAGAACGGTATGTTTGTAGGAAGTAACAGCGCCTACAGAAAGGTATGTTTGGAGGAAGTGACAGCGCCTACCGAACGGTATTTTTGGAGGAAGTGACAGCGCCTACAGAAAGGTATGTTTTGAGGAAGTGAAAGCGCCTACAAAACGGTATGTTTGGAGGGAGTGACAGCGCCTACCGAACGGTATGTTTGGAGAAAGTGACAGCGCCTACCGAACGGTATTTTTGGAGGAAGTGACAGCGCCTACAGAAAGGTATGTTTGGAGGATGTGAAAGCGCCTACAGAACGGTATGTTTGGAGGAAGTGACAGAGCCTACCAAACGGTATGTTTGGAAGAAGTGACAGCGCCTACAGAAAGGTATGTTTGGAGACGTGACAGCGCCTACATAACTGGTTTTGAGGCAATGAAGTGGTATGACACACGCAAGGTGAACTTATAAATGTGTTTCGCGCTTTTACATTTTCTCATGATGTAGATTGACTTTCGAGACGGAAATGAATTTTGGATTCTGTTTTAATAATTCCGAAGAACAACAGCAATGCACTTTTTAAGTTAGAGTCAAACTGTATGCAGTATGGAGTTCTACTAGTCAATAAAGTCATCATTGTCCAGGACGACATCACAGACGGTTAGCAATGTATATTCAAAGTACATGTATATATATATGCAAAACAATAATACCGACAGTGCGGACAATGCGATTTTTTTTTTACATTCGAGACAATCCGTCCTTTTGTACAAGACCGAAAATGTATGATAAAATATCACAAGTATAATTAGGAGATACATAGTCACTATAAAACAATATTGAAACAGCAAATACTCTTACAAAATCAATTACTTCTTCTGTAATGCATTTCCGATTGCTAATTGTATCGCATATTTGTTCGGCTATCTTATAGCCAAAAGCTGGTTACACTGAAGAATTCATCTTGAAAACGTTAATTCAAATGAATCGATAGCAAAAATGTGACTTAGGTAATGAATAAACTACAAGCACGGCTTGAAAGAACTGTGAGAGAAACGAGGTGTCTCTGCACGTCAAAATGTACATATATTAAAGGTTACCACTGCATATTTTTATCTAACTGAAGTGTTTTATTGTAAAATGTTGTTATTTACAATGTGTAGTTCATGAAAAATATGTAATGTGTGTTGTGTTTGGCATAAACACTCTATGTATAATGCTGTTTTCCCTGGAAAATAAACGAATTACTTAATTATTAATGAATATTGTTCTCCATTTATGAACTCGTTATTAAAATATACAATCATGACGACAGCTCGATTGATGTGATAAATAAGAGTTGATATGATCAGTAACATCAATAGTGCTCTTGGGATTGTTGTTCAGGCTAGCGACAACTGACCTGAATCATATTTGTAAATAGAAAAAAAATAATGAAAAAATACGCGAATATCAAAAGATCTCACATATGTACATGTACATAACTCGTATCAATCACTTTTATATTTTCTTCATTTATGACACGATTTGAACAACTGAAACTGTAAAAATAATAATAATGAAATTATTATCCAGGACTCAAAAAAATGATTTGTTACATGCGTGATAACACCTAATTGTTGTTGTTGTTGTTGTTGTTGTTGTTGTTGTTGTTGTTGGGAGGGGGTATCTCAATCTCTTAACAATCCTCATCCGTTCAAATATCTATACAAGTCAAGTCAAGTTAAGTCAATTTTGTTTATTATAGTGTCATATATCACAATTACATCGTACAAGTATATAGTTACACAGTATAAAAACATATAGTTACATAACAGGGATCAATCATCTTAATGTAAAAATATATAGACCATATCATAATTTTGTTAAGAACAGCTATTATATATAATAAATTAATAAATTAAAACAAACTATCACATTTGCCAATCCAGAGAGCAGGTGATTGGG